TGCAGAGGGCCCCTGAAGACTCTAGGATCTCCACTGTGGGGATTCTGTTTTGCTGCAGAGGTATAAAAAGAGGGATTCATATAGTTGGATTTTTTAGTATAGAAGTTTAAAAGTCTAGTACAGTGATGTCATAATACACACACAGATTCCAGGTTTTGTGTGCCGCTGTGACACGCAGCCTTGTACACACACGGGTCTTTGTCCAGGCCGCTCTTTGTGGCCTTGTACCTTTTTCAGAGGAGCCTTTCTGCCCCTCAGTGGGACCACCAGCGAGCTAGAGAGAGGGAGCCAACTCGGACACTGGCACTAATTGGCTCCGCCGTCGGAGCCCCACAGAGCCACACTTTAGACCGCGGCAATAAGCCGGTCAGTGTGAGGATGGAGGCCTGGGCAGGGTGCCTGCGTGACTACGTGAGACGGAGGAAGACGGATTGCTAATTAGGGGGGTCTCTGATGAAACATGAGAATCATACAGAAGCAGTTCAAAACCTTCCTCTACCCTGCAACACACACACACACTCTCCTCCGACCACAGCAGTTAATTGGTTGGTTGGTGTTGGTGTTTGTGGTGGTGGATGGAGGGTCTAGGTTGGTGGGGTGGGAAGGGGGGGGGTTTGTCTTTTGTCTGATGCACTTCAGCTGCTCTGATTGACAGCAGGGACAGGAAGTGAGGGTGTAGGGCTTAGAGAGGAAAAGAGCTTTTCTCTCCACGCTGCCTTCCTCAGATTAACATTCTCCTCAACCTCTCCAAATTCCTCTCGTCCTCCTCTCCGCTTTTTTTCTTCCGCTCCCGCTTTCACACTCTCTCTCTGTCTCTCTGTCTCTCGCCTCTTATCTCTTCTCTCCTCCCCTCGCATCCTTCTGTCCATTTATATCCACTTACACAACATCACACAAGACTTTTGAGAGATATTTCCGAGGCCTTTTTGTCCCCTCTCTCTCTCTTCTGGCCTCGGTCATTTCCTCAGAAGCATGAGAGATTAGGTTACTCCGGGGCTCTTAAGCAGCCGAGGTACAATGCTTCACAAATGCTTATACAACGGTGCCACAGACGGGGAGTGATGGAGTATCTACTTATGCTCCATCAGCACCGAAATAAATCAACCCCGAACAAACCAAACACCGACGCTGCTGTGCAGACATGACGGCTGATATGTGACATGTTAAAGAGGTTCATTGTCACATGTGTGTCAAAGGGCTGATAAAACTATTAAGAAGACAGTTTTATCGCGACTGATGGCCTTTGTGAACAAAAAAAAACAAAACATAATTATTTTCTAGCTGCTGCTGCTGCTGCTGCTGCTGAGCGACCAGAGGTTGATCGAGGATAAATCATTACATCATCACAAGACTCGTCGTTCTGCTGCCTTTGCCTGGAAACAGAAAAGTTATCTTTTTATCAACCTCAAAAAATATGTCGGCTTACAGAAGACAAAAATCTCTCAGTAGACAGACAGACAGACAATAATTGTACGGCCATATTTTTCCTTCATATGTTCAAATTTGATATTGGTGTTAAAATCTTTACAGTATATACGGGTGTGGCTCACTTTTTTTCCCCAAAATAATCACCTGAAGAAGAACTCCAGTCCAAACGTTGTGATTTAAATAAAGAGGGAATATCTTATTCTATCTAAAAAGTAAATTTAAAAAAGGTAATGATTTTCAAAACATACTTTTACACTTTTAATTGGCAGAGAAGATTTGGCAAGTTTTTTAATGGGCGCAACCCACATACTCAGCTCTGCTGCCCATCCCACAAATGCATGTTCCTTACAAATGTGGCACCATTAAAAGGGGAAATAAACCGGATTTATTGCCAAGAAGCATCGTTACAACAACAAAAATAATCTACCAAACACTAATGTCCTTACTTTATGTGCGATGTTTATGTTTTATGTATTGTCTGTGTTTTATCAAGTGACTCTGCCTGCAACCAAATTTACCTACAGGTACAAATAAAGTTACCTGAACCAGAATTGATATCCCACATCAGATATAAAACTTTACCAAGAGAACTCATCAAAAGTTATAATTTGAAGAGTTTAATTGATTTTGGATATTAGATTCAAAATGGGCATCAATAGAGACCACTTTCTCCTTTTCGTCTGTATTTATGTTTTTTGTTTAAAACACAATATTCTCATTTGTCCTTATTTATGGAAAATTAGATAAAAGTTGCAATATTTGTCAGACTGCAAAAACAGCAATGATAACAAGTTCCTCTTCATTTTAAACGCAGAAGAGAAATGTTTTAACTCACTTGTGCAGTGTCCCTCCTTTTTTTCCAGAGCTGTAATTTCCCTGAAACAAAGCAATTTCTCATTTTCAACACTTGATATGTTTCTGTTATTTCAATTAAACATGGGATCTGTAATGTTTTCCACCAAACTAATCCGGTTAGGTTTCTTTTCACATAACACACAATGTCCCAGGTCTTTTGGAAACACGGTTATAACAGTACGAGTTCTTTGTCAGGGTAAATGTTCTCGTGTCCAAACTGGCTGCAGAACAATTTCTCCTCAGAGTGATGCCAATGTTAAATTCAGCAAGGAGGAGGCTTCAGTGGACAACGCTCATATTTTTCAAATATATCCCATTTCCATGTTTCCAGAGACATTGTTTCCCTCAGCTGAGCCGCGGTGGAGGGAGGCACAGCAACACGACTGCTGTGGCTTTGGAAGAGAACCAGTTCATTTGTAGAGCTCATTTTAGCTCGGGCTGAAGTGTGAAATTAATTTTGTGGCCCATCATCTACACCAAAGGATAGGAGGAACAAATATAGCATATACTATGTGGTGGGACGATATGTTGGTGTGGGGATAAATCATCTTCCTGACTCGTGTGACACAGTCATAGAATCGCTGGTGCCAAATATCGATATTTCAATTAAAACAAGCACTGCTTCACTGCTCTTCGCGGTGGCACTTATGGCAGGACAGACGGTAACTTGGACGAACGTTAAATGGCCAAAGTAGAAGTTGACAGCAGAAGTAGAAGAAGAAGAAGAAAGGGCGATAATGTGGGACCAAGCAGCAACCTCCGTTGTTTAAAATTAAGCAAATGCTGAAGTGCAAAATCCTGCAGTTCATCGAGTGTCCACTTGAGGCTGGCTCAGGAACACCGGCAGTCACATACACACCCATTAAAAAAAAAAGACGTTTTTACAGCAGAAATCAGAATATGTGTTTACAGCCTGGGAAATAAAACACTATTGGTCTGATTAATATCGTCCTCATGGGAACTCACTGTACAGGGGGTGAAGTTTTTAATGTTTTGATTAATGCATGGAGGGATTATATATATATATATATTGCCTGGGAACACCTCAGAATCCCCCAGGAGGAGCTGGGAAAAGTTGCTGGAGAGAGGGAACCGTGACCCAATCTGGGATAAGCGGAAAAAAATGGATGGATGAATGGAAAAGTTATGCATAGTTGGGCGTGTAGCTGACATGATTGACGCGATGTAACGGTTCGTCAAGAGGCTTAAAACCCGCTTCAGCTCCAGCTCTCAGCCTGTCATTAGGTTGACTGAAAATTAGACTGAGACAGGATTTCCAACATGGCGGCTGCTGCTGATGAGCCTCCAGAGCCCCCTGCAGGAACAGATGGCTGACGTCACTCAGGCTTCAAACATTAATATTTACAGTCTGTGTTTTGAGCATCAGTGAAAGTGTGAAAAGAGGTTTGCAGTGCATTTTATATTCTTTAATAAACCAGATATCATAATGTTTCATTATATGAGTATGTGATTATGATTATGATTGTTCAGTAATTACATCAGTTATCTCAGAAATGCTGCCTTGTGATATTATCATCGGGGTCCACCGGTCAGGTATCATATTGTATTCTGTACACATAAACCTGAAGTCTCTGAAAAGCAGAGCTGAACGGTCTCATGCAAACATTTTTCTCACCAGGTCACAGCGGAGAGAAACACAGAGACAGACAGCCTGTCCATGGAGTGCATGAGAGTTTAAAAACACAAGTGGTTATTTTAACAAGTGGAGTTTAACCCAACACTGTCCACTAATGATAATAACAAGTCACAAGAAAAACATCTCAACTCTGTTTATGTTTTTGGCTTGGTCTGACGATCACAGCACTTCTCCTCATAACTCAGTTAGGATCCATTACTGTTACTTTACAATGTTTGAGAGAGAGAGGGAGAGAGAGAGGGTGAGAGAGAGAGGGATAGAGGGAGGGAGAGGGCGAGAGAGAGAGGCACAGAGAGAGAGAGACAGAGAAAGAGAGAGAGAGAGAGAGAGAGGGAGAGGCACAGAGAAAGAGGCAGAGAAAGAGAGAGAGAGAGAGAGGCACAGAGAGAGAGACAGAGAGAGAGAGAGGGAGAGGGAGAGGGAGAGGCAGAGGGAGGGAGAGAGGGAGAGGCACAGAGAGAGAGACAGAGAGAGGAGAGAGAGACAGGGAGAGAGAGAGCAGAGGGAGGGAGAGGGAGAGGAGAGAGAGAGGGAGAGAGGAGAGAGAGAGACAGGGAGAGAGAGAAGCAGAGGGAGGGAGAGAGAGGAGGAGAGAGAGAGAGAGAGAGAGAGAGAGAGAGAGAGAGGGAGAGAGAGAGCAGAGGGAGGGAGAGAGAGCACAGAGAGAGAGGAGAGAGAGAGGAGAGAGAGAGAGAGAGAGAGAGACACAGAGAGACAGAGAGAGAGCAGAGAGGGAGAGAGAGAAGCAGAGGAGAGGAGAGAGAGGCAGAGAGAGAGAGACAGAGAGACACAGAGAGAGAGAGAGAGGGAGAGAGAGGGAGAGGAGAGAGAGAGACAGAGAGAGAGAGGCAGAGGGAGGGAGAGAGAGGCACAGAGAGAGAGAGAGAGAGAGGAGAGAGAGAGAGGAGAGAGAGAGAGAGAGAGAGAGAGAGAGCAACAGAGAGAGAGAGGCAGAGGGAGGAGAGAGAGGCACACACAGAGAGAGGGAGAGAGAGAAATGCACATCCTGTTTTCACAGGTGTTTTTACGATGTAAAGATGAATAAACCAGAGCGGACAGATTTCCACATTCACATTTTATTTCCATAGTTCACTCGTAGCTTCTGTATTTGTTACAATCAACTAAAAATCATTCACTATCTCTGCTTCTTGTTTTAACCTCCCAACAAAATAAGAGCGGCATCTTGTTGACATCAACTTCTAAAGACACACACAAAAAGAAATTCAAGTTATAAGAGCCCACACACACAATTCTTAGAGGGGGGCCGACATTATTTCACACCTCTTATATCCTTTTCAAAACACACATGCGTTCAGAGTTCAGAGTGGGGGGGGGGGGGGTAGCAGGGTTGGATGTCCATGAGTAACAATAGAAAAGAAAACAAAGAGGCAAGAGAGAAGTGAAGACGAGGGAATGAAAGAGTTTAGAGGGAAGGACAGAGAGAGGATGTGGATCATCAAGTTTGAAAGTAAAACACTGTGAGGTTGAACTAAGGACACACACACACACTCACATACTCATACTCTCAAAAAGCCTCATATACATACAGGTAGCATCCCATAAACAATGTTTAATAAATTACAAAATAAAAACAGAAAAAAAAAAAAAGCCATGCGCTAGCTGTACAAACGGAAACTCAAATATTAAAAACAAATAAAAGAAACAATCAAAACGACTCCCAATACAAAGCACCATCTGATATTATGCAACAGTCTCTCCTGTAAGTAAATCCACAAAATGTACAGATAAAAAGGAAACTCAATTCCAGTATATTTCTTTAAAACATCAAAGCTGTAGGCTGGACGACTGAGGTGAGTGAAGTTGAGGTTTGCAAACTGTGACATGTTGTAACGTGACCTTTCACTGTCGTTCAGTCCGGTTTTTTGTTGTGTGAGTGTTTATCCAAAGTGCAAAAGGTTTTTTTTTTCCCGTTTTTTTTTTTTTAAAGCTCTCTGCAGCCTCATGCGTCTTGTTCTTATCTTGCTCTGTCCAACATTTCGACACCGTCTATTATTAAAAACACCGAACAGAGTGCATGTGGATACTTTACATTCCGTCTGTATGTTCTGACTTCTCGTTCTAACCCTGTTATTGTTCCGTTTGTGGTGCGTGATTATTACTTTGATCCATGTTCTGTACAAGGTGCGGCCTCGATAAGAGACGAGAACATTCTACAATCTGCGTTATTTAAAGAGTTTCAGTTTTGGATTAAGCAAGACAAACAGCACGTGGTGGATGATCGGACCTCGCGCACGGACGGCCCGAGAAGAAAGGAGAGGAGTGAGGTCACAACTCGAGTACCGAAACAACCTGCGCCACAGACGTACTTGCTTTGAACTACTTTTAAGCGTGTGCAAGATGGCTGATTTGCCTTAGGCGCGGTCGCTGTGCATGTCCTAAAAAGTGAACGCAACACCAGAGCAAGATGGAGAGTGACTTTTAAAGAGTAATGTAGGGGACGAGGGGGATTTGACAGAATCAACACAGCAGCGACAAACATGCCTGTCAAGAAATCTGGCAACACACTCGTTCCATTTTCAGTCGACGTGGAAACCTGCTGAACTAAATCAAACGAGTCTGGGACTATAACGGAGGAGAATTCTGCAGGAACATGGTCCAACTTTCATGAGTCGACTGAGCTCATCTATGATGGATTATTGAGGTTATTTTATGTTCTGATCTCATAATGAACATGATGGTAACCTCTCTAACTGTTTTCATGTCTGTACTTTACATCCCGCACATCAGAGAGTTGCATACAGCCTGAGCTCTCTCTCTCTCTCTCTCTCTCTCTCTCTCTCTCTCTCTCTATCTGGTGCGCCCTCAAGTGGTACCCTCCAGTATCACACGTAGTGCATAGCTAAGAATGTAAACAATCACGTTACTGAGTGTATGACTGCAAGGTTAAAAGCAAGTGTATCTCTGGCCTTAGCAGGTTTTCTACATGACACACTTAGGACAGACACTGACCTACAGGTGTGCTGTGATGCAGAGATGTTTGTTCATCCCCACGACACATTTAAACACCAAAGAAAACGAAGAAAACAATACAGGAAGGACACGAGACAGGCCGCAAAGAGCGAAGCATTAAAGCGCTTATTTTTGGCTAAAGAGAAAAAACGGAAACAGAAAGTAAGAAGGCATGTTTGGTTGCACCTCTAAACTGGTCAGTGGAGGAGACTCAGTTCCCCCTCTTATCATCAGGAGTGTGTTTATTACAACACAGGTGACAGGGGTTTAAAGACCACACCAAAGAAGCCGCTGTCTCTGTAACACCACCACAGCTAAAGTGTAAGATCGGCTGTGAAGAACAAGCTAGTGGACGCGGGTTCAAGTTAAGGATCGGTGGTGCCCGCTGTCTGCTTCCCCCTGGGGCTAGCTTTAAGTGAATCTCAGAGGCTATATGGTGTCCGAGGTCAGGGCTAACAGTTCATGAAGGTTGCAGAATAAAAGTGAGAGGTGAAAACATTCATTGGAATCCACTTTGATTTCTATTGAGGGCTTATAGCAGCCTGGCTAAAAGTGGAAGGCAGGTGGAGTTGCACCTTTAGGAGAAAAGAGCGTCTGAATGCGCGAGAGAGTAGACTACACACCATCATAAAGTGTCTATACAGCAAAGGTTACGTTAAGTTATTTGTTCACCAGAGTGAGGAGTGTTGGGGTGACTAGTTATTTTATCTTAAGTCGGCTAACGATTTGAGCGCTGCTTGTTTAGAAGCTCAAACGGTCTAGGAGTGAGGAACACCTCGGCGTTAGTCCCTGTGATTGAAGTCGGAGTCTGACGGGGGATCCAGGTGATCGGTGTTCTCGTGGACTTCGATCCTGTGTTCGTTGTCGGCCTCGGCCTCGGCCTCGGCGTCGTCGCTCTCGGCGCTGTAGTCTATCGCCTCCAGAAAGGACGGCTCATCCTCCTCCAGCACGTAGGTCGTGGTGCTGCTGCTGCAGAAACACACAAAGGGACACAGGTGTTAGTTTTTAAACAATGTTTCTCTGTGAGTTTGTGAAGTAGAAACTCCTGGAACAAACAGCGTGTAGATGAGGGCCCGACCGATACGGGATGTTTGGGGCCAATACTGATATCGATATTGGGTAACGATAATTTGGCCGATCTCTTTCTTGGAGAGTGCTAATACTTGTAGTGATCCGAATAGCGCCCTCTGCTGGTGACAGCCAGAATGAGCACTGCTAGTGTAAAACAAGGAAACTTAAATGAAATTATATTTGACTTGAAAATAAATCGAGTAATATCGGCGCATACATGAGATAAAATTAGCCGATACTGATAGTCACTGGATATGCTAAAATTGGCCGATATTATGGGTATGGTCGGGCTCTAATGGACAAAAACAGCAAAAAAGGAGCCGACTCGACAGTAAACACGATTCCAGGTGCACGACCGCAACAAGACTAAAAAGAGACAGAAAAGTCGGCACACAAACGTCCTTTTAGTTTCCGTTATCCGGGTAAGAATAGAAAAAGGACGCATTTCAGCGGCCGTTGTTGTGTTGCTATCTTTTACGTATTTAGTTTAGAAAACACTGAAATCAGCAAATTAAATCAGACAAAATTTCGGACCAAGATATTTGTTGTTTTGTTTATTTTAAAAGCTGAAATGATAATAAAAAAAGGTCCAAAAACAAAATCTAACTGTAGTTAATAACTACACTTCTCACACACATAAAATAAAGTGTTTTTTGTATCTTATTCATGATTGTTGAAATAACTTTGTTTTTTGTATTCCTGTTTTAATCATCGATGTAAAGCACATAGAGCTTACCTGTAATTAAATGTTCTTTATAAATCAACTTTCTATTCCACTCTATTCTCAACAACAGACTCTTCGTCTCCTACGATATTATTCATATTCAAGTATATTTCAAATCAGTAAAAAAAGAGGCTGTGAAACAAACTGTGTGCTCTGACTGGTGGAGCTGGTTTTTCTCTCCCTGTGGGTCTTAATGGTTAAATGGTTGCTGGTTCTTGAGGTTTTAGTGGCTTTAGTGGGTTTTTAATGGTGTTAATGGTCTGAAACGTGATCCCAGGGAGACAGTCGATCAGGGGGGCTCAGACAATGATCTCCCAATGAGCTCGGCAGCGTTTGAGTGCCAGAGAGAGACACAGAGAGGAATAGTGCGTCAGTGTACAGTAAATGTGGATGTGTGTACTAATGTGTGTGTGTGTGTGTGTGTGTGTGTGTGTAATGATTTGGATGGACAGACTGTTGTCCAAACAGATAATGAGAGTCGGGAGTCAACCATTACACGCCATTATGGAAACACCAATCCCAATCTGTGCTTTCTTTGGGTTACATTTTCTTCATTAAGCCGCTTCAGGATACAGTACACTCAGAACATGATGAGTATTATGATTGGAGGTTCATGATATGATTGTTTCTTGATTTTTAAAGGGGATTGATTATGCTGATCCATATATTTAAATACATACATATAATGTCCAGATGTTGAATATACATACTGAACCTTAAAACATGCAGTTGTTGGCGTAATCCCTGGAGGTGGTTTCCTGCGGCACTGAACGAGACGCAGTTAGCACCCTCTGCTGGTTAAAGAGAGTATTGCAATATTTTTGTTTTTGTCGCATCGATTGAAATTGACCAGATTTTTTTGATTCATGTAGTTTTGCGGTTCATCGTTTCATCCCTGTTCAACATGATACTAGTCCAAATCAAACAATACTGATACCTGTTCATCACCTTAACTTAAAGGGGACATATTATGAAAAACCCACTTCTACAGTGTTTTTGAACATATATCTGGGTAACCTGAGTGTCTACTGACCCACAAAATGTGAAATAAACCCATCCAGTCCTTTGTTTGTGGTCTGCATAAGTCTTACAACACAGAGAAAAATGCTCCATTTCAATTTTGCTCACTTGTGATGTCACAGTGGGATTCTGGTTAAAAAAAAAAATCCCCTCCCCTCCCCTGGTATCTCCACCCATGGACTCCAGCCCCAGCCTAGAACAAAACTTAACACAGGTCTGACATTTTTATTCTCTCTACAGAGGAGTGATGTCTACCAGGAAAACTCAGGGGGGGGGGGGTCATTTCATTTAAAGAGACACACACACCAAACGGAGCGTTCTGAGAGAGCTGGTTTATACAGGGTCACAAACCTCCTCTGGTGCTTGATTTATGTTATATTTTGACCAAAGCACAGCACAGATGTTTCATTTAGACCACAGGGGGGCTGTTTAAAAGGTGGAGAAGGGGGATAATATGTCCTCTTTGAAGAAGAAATCCTAGACACCAAATATTGGGTCATTTCTCATTTTTAATTACCTAAATTACAAACAAACCGGCACAAATCCATTGGCCATGCTTCAGTAACAAAACATTCCCAATGGTTTAGTGCAGTTTAGACATTGATCTCTCTCCCTTAGAGGCAGCTTTTGGTTAAAAATATGACTGCAGATATGTTTCTGTATTTTTGATCGACTGATAATTAAAATTACAGATATTTACAGATTTACAGATTTTAAAACCCTTAGTATCAAACGTATCAAAGCATACAAAACCTCAAAATATGTTCATGTAAACCAGTAATAAGTCTACTCCCATGTGCACAAACCTCAGCGTTCTCAGTCTTTGTCTTCCTCCTGCTGCCACAGAAACACACCCCTGACCGTATCCAGCCATTTACTCACTCTGAGACGCCTATTTGCAGAAGCCTCCCAACGGCCGCAATATCATTGTTGTGATGACCTATTAAACGGTAAGTGGTACCATACCAAGCCCCACGCATAAAACCATAAAGTCGGGATGAGAGCAACCAATCCCAGAGGACACTCACGCAAACACTCACACACATACACAGTCTCTTAATGATCAGACGCATAAATGATGAATGAATGTATCAATATAAGAGTAGAGGAGGGACGGTAAGAGAGAGAGAGACTGGGAGACACTGGGAGAGACAGGGGCATTAAGTGGTTTGTAGTTTAAAGCCACGCTTTTATATCAAGTGCTTTAACAAATCCGTTGCGTGGAGAACGAACGCTGACGTTATAAAAAAGAAAAAGAAGTTAGACCTTGGTGGTCAAAGTGAGGTTTGGCCGAGCGTAATGATTTATTTGCGGTGTGGAATTGGAGAACAATCTAATCTGTGTGGACGTCAGATTTCCGAACAGAGGATTTTAAAGGAGATGATTTGATGTACGGTAAAGCCTCGTGATCATCTGTTGGGATCTGATGTTAGAGAGCAGCACCGGCTCATCGTCTGACGCCATTTTCTTTCAAATATGGACGGCAACTTGTTCAGATTCTGATCACGACTTTACTGAAGCTTAAACTTTACTTTCTCTAATTTAATCATAACGTTATTATGAGTATTAAGGCCACTCTATAAAGCCAAATAAGAATCATTGTTCTATTTTTATGACTTAACCTTATTTTAAGTGAAGCGGAGGGAAAAACACTTCCAGTTTTTTTTTTTTTCAACATTGCAGAGACAACAAAGTTGAAGTTAACGTGGAGTATATCAAAGTAATGGAATAAATGATTCTCTCCACTGTTTTATCAAGTTATTGCTCACATCTTGGCTTATTAAATGTCCAATAAAAATCTTCCAGGTTTGTTATCTAAACATGGGTCTTAACCCCAAAGAAACCAGATTTACAATTATGTCAACTTTGAAAAGGAGCAAATCTTGTCAATGACAAAAAACATGTATTTTCTGATGGATGGTTTATAGGCTGAATCTGTTTTAATGCGTTACATTAACGCTCACTGGACTTTAAATGTATTTTCTTTACATGCACTCTGTGTAGATTCATATACAATGTAAGATTTGTTTCATTGTCAACTGCACAGCTCATTCATTGCACATTTTGTACTTATTGTTTCAAATTGTATATTATATATATTTGTAATTGCTTCTTATATTTCATGATTCAAGTTCTTGCTATTTTTGCTTTATTTCCTTTATTAACTTTTTGTGCACCAATACACCAAAACAAAGTCCTTGTATGTGTAAATGGACTTACAATAAAACCCGATTCTGATTCTAGGTAAATCTTTTCAGAGAGCTAAATGTAGAGTCAGAAATCAGGGAGAGACGGAGAGAGAGAGAGAGAGAGAGAGAGAGAGAGAGAGAGAGAGAGAGAGAGAGAGAGAGAGACAGAGAGGGCGAGAGAGAGAGATGTGGACCTGCTTCGACTTTGGCCTCTGTGCATGAGCGACCTTACTACAAGGTCAACTCCCATCTCCCATTGTGAGACTCTTTTTATCAAGAGTTTAGAAAAGTTCTCTAATGAATAAAGATTTTTTTATTATTATCATAAATGTGCTGCGAGTTGAACATCTTCTGTGTTGCCATTCTTGAACTCACTGGCACTCAAGTGAACAAAAAACTGCTTTGACACCGACCACTTTTTCTTTTTCCTATTTTGCAAATCTATTCCAGCGACATACAACTTTAATCTGCACGGCGTCTGCGGCCCTCAAGAACCCCTCGGTGTAGGCGCTGTTTTACGCTCTCTCTGCGACTTAATGACACTGCTGACAATTATTCATACCCATTCCCCATTTCACTCCACGGTTTCATCTGATCCATCACGTGGTGACAGGATTTCAATGACATGCACAGCGGCCCTGTGTGAACGAGGGGCCTCCATTTGTTTCTTGAGGAGTGCTTCAGAGGCGATCCAGAGTGACAGTCACAGCGCTGTGTATCGGTGTGAAGGAGGGGAGGGGGGGCATGTTTGAGAGTAGAGAGGGTGTTTGGTGCAGATAAAAAAAGAAACTATTCTGTAACCAATTTACTGTTTTCCTGGTCGGAGTTGTGGAAACAGAACCTCTTTCAAAAGCTCCGATATCCTTGAAAGGTTGCATGAGGACACTGTTTTTACAATCCTGAGAGAAATATATATCTGTTTTATGAATCTGTAGTGTTTCAACGAGGCTGTGTCTGGTTTGTTTTGGAGTAGTGAGATGCAAAGTCACACTCTAAGTCTATTAATAGTCTCACAGCTTCCGTCTGAGCTTGTGCGTAATGGTTTTCTGCGGCTCCACTTAACCTACCTGACCACTTTACACTGCGGCCCGATGATATCGCTCTCCAGATCCAGCAGATGTTGGTGGTTGCGGAGCCCCGTCAGCCTCTTCAGCCTCAGCAGGGCCACGCAGAACTGAGCGCCCATCTCCTCCAGCTCTCTGGTGCCGATCTGCAGACCCTGGGTGAGACACGATCATGGACATCAGAGAGAGCGCCTTCACACTCAGCAAAAAAACAAAACTATCACAACCGCATCAGATTTTGAGTTCAGTATGATTAAAACACAGAATAATCTCAAAGGTCAAACAGAAGTTTACTCTAAAAGAGCGGCTGTATTTCTGAAGCTGCTCTGGAGTCGTTGTCCATCTTCAAACGCTTAAATTCTCAATGCTGGAAAGTCCTGACTCAGAAAACTTTTCATGCAGGAAAATTATATGTATTTCATTTGCGTGAGGAGCTTATTCAACCACATGTGCACACACACCTGCACCCCGAACAGAGTCCTCACAGAGCGGTGCAATCATACAAGTAAATGAATACTCGCTCAGGGACACACACACACACACACACACACACACACACACACACACACACACACACACACACACACACACACACACACACACACACACACACACACACACACACACACACACACACACACACACACACACACACACACACACACACACACACACACACACACACACACACACACACACACACGCACAGAGACACACAGCTTACCCCAAATTCAACCCAAAACTTTCATGTTCCCCTTTCCCCAGAGCAGAGCTAGGAACATCTAAACTTGGCCTGGCCACAGAGATATGCAGCCCAAATTCAAAAGACATTAGTTCCTGCACATCTGGACAAATACTTCCACACACACCATTGGGGGGGGGCGCTAATCAGTGCCAAAATGGCACCCCGAGACTGCCTGTGGAAATGTGAGATGTTGACATTGGCAGAATTGAGCAGGAAAGAAATCAGCTGGGATTGAGAGTGAAGGAGTGAAGGAGAGGAGAGAGGAGAGGGAGGAAGAGGAAGGGAGGAGAAAAGACAGCAGAGCAGCGAAAGGGAAACTTGAAGAAAGGACTGCAGCGCCATCTGGTGGACGTTTAGAGATTTAAAGGGGTGAATCTTGAGTTTTGTAGTAGATCAGAACTCAGATTCAACACTTTGTTTCAGGTATTATTTAGTCAGTCAAGAGACAGGAGGAACATCTTCATCTGTCTTTGATAAATCCCTCTGTCAGTTCTCAGTCAAACATTAGAGAGTCCTCTTATGGTATGAATATGTGTTTTGAATCCCTCACTGTCATTGACTGTGTACAAAAAAAATAAACTAGAACAGTAACCAACTCTATATTTATAAGCCCTTTACAGGTTTCTACCACACACACACACGCTTTGATATTTTCTCTCTACGCCTTGTTTTTATATTTCCTGTGTGTGGAATGAATGTATGAATAAATAAGAGACATCTCCCCCCCAAATAAAAGAACAACATGCACTAGCCAAACAGTGAATAGTCTGCACAAACTAAAATGCATTTATAACAAAGTCATCAGTATGAGAGTTTACCAAAAACAACAGTGTACAAAGTGATTCTTTGTTTGACTGCAGGGTTATGAACTTAATGACACTCGGCAGGTCTTTTTTTGGGGGGGGGGGGGGGGGCATCATAAAGTACATAAAATGCTTACCTTGTATTTGCCCTGGTCACAGCCACACAGCGTGCTCTCCATGGTGTAGCTGCGCTGCACTCCTATCTCTCTCCATACAACAACGCGGGCGGTCGACTCTTTGGAGCGCTCCACGACAAAACTGCAGCTGGCCATGCTGAAGGCCGGGGCGATCTGGGACAGGATCTTAGGTAGAGCCTGAAAAACACATGACAAATTGTTTGATGTGTTTCAGTGCGTTTGTGTAGGTGTGTGTGTGCATTAGCGCACTGTGATCAACAAAGACAGGCTCAGACTGAGCAGTTATTGACTCCAAAATGTTTGCTGTGGGCTTGTAGCCTGAAGCTACACCCCACCAAACAAACGACTGTATTGAACCTGCTTCTTTATTAGCATTCTGCTCGGGGAAGTTTTTTTTTTTTTTTTTGCATTCCCAAATGCAGAAAGAAACAACAAACGTATCCTGACCCGAGCAGAAACAGAAAAAAGCTCTTCAACACTGCAGGGTAATTACTAATATCTGAGTATGTCACCTAACATAACCTGTGTTGAAACTCATGTTAATGATTTGATCATGATAAAGGACAAGGCATGTTTACATCTTTGGATAAATGAAAACAAAGGAAGGACACAGATGGGATCACAAACAGGAAGCGTGTCACTACAGAGGTCATCTTACGGTGTGTTAGGATTCTTACAGGTTACTTATAGGCTACTTTAGAGCCCCGATTCCATCAAGCAGTCTGGTTTGGTGCAGTACAGTTTGGTGCAGTTCAGTACAGTAAACCCTGATCTTGCCTGCGTTTCCACAGCTAACCGTACCCTTATTTGGTAAGCGGAGTGTAAGCCAGGTAGAGATAGCCGCGTCAGCTATGTAACAGTGTGACATTGTAGCAGCCCAACACAGTGTAGCCCACTATTAATTAAGTTCAACGGGTCAGATCAGTACCCTTGGCACCCCAACAGAAGGGTACAAAAAAAGTAGGGCGGTATATGGATGCCTTATTTTGGTACCATTCCCAACGTTTGACAATGGAAACGCAAATCAATGGGTCCTGAACCTGGGCTATACTGTGATAAGTCTACATTATTGAATAACAAAGAGTTGTGTGACACATATAATCACCAATAACATCCTTTCTTTAACTGTGTTAATCCATACACCTTAAGTTAAAGCCATGATTTTCATATATCCTAGGATAAACATTACATTATGAGGTCATGAAGTGCTCATGTAAGAGTGTGAAATACGATAAGAAAGAACAGCTCTGTAGGTTGAGAAAGAAACTCAGGACGGTGTACTGGAGCGCCTGTGACATATGAGAGAGAGGAAGCTACAAGGAGGAGAGAGAGAGTGGACGTGCATCAGTCAGAACCGCTGTACCCCCTGAAATGTGTAAATCTGCACTATCTTAGAGGCCAGCAAGAGGCACATGACAACATACACAGAAGTTACACTGACGACCCTTTAAACAGGAAATAAAACAGGAGAAGTGTGGCACGGTGTGGTCTCTTTGATGCTTTGTTTGAAATCATTTAGTAGCTGAATCTGGGTTTTGCTCGGGCTTGTTCATTGTTTGCTTTAGTAGACGTGAATAAACCTTTTTACATCAGGCCCTGATCATCTTGTGTGGACTTTGAAGCGTTTTTCTGACTTAAGTTACGTTGCTCCTGAGACAGTTTATCAATCAGGCCCAGATTTAAACTTCTTTCCCTGACACCTCGCTGTCTATTTTCATTTTAATGTCCTTTAAAAAGGTGCTTAAATCTGTTCTTATGTGAGGAGGTTTCAAAGGATCCAAGTCAAAGAATGAATGTGCAGATGTGGTGTATGCAATCTGAGAATATCATAGTTTCAGGATCTTCAACATAGCACAGGCATAACATGTTATGGACTGAGGAAGTACGTGTTCATGTATGTTTCTGTGCATGAAAATGTGTGTCTATGTGTGTGTGTGTGTGTGTGTGTGTGTGGTCGTGTTTGTGGATCTACCCTGTATCCAAGGTCTTCTTGCAGGTCGCTGGACGTGGCGCTGATGTTGGACTGCCAGACCGTCTCCTTCACGCTGCAGCCGTACATGAACACGTTCTTCTTTCTGGAATGACCGTGGTAATCGCAAAACACCTTTGTGTAGACGAGCGCGCACACACGCAAAGACACACACACAAAGACACACACACAAAGACAGGAAATAGAAGGAGTAAAGGAAGTTAATGATGCATATTAAAAAGCATTTTTCAAAAAAGACACAAACAAAAGTACAGATAAACAATGCAAAGACTGCTCAAATGAATAAACTGTATAATCAGGAAATCTGTAAATAAATGTCTCCTGCAGGACGCCCCGCAGGGATTCTAAAAAAGACGTGTTTTGGTGCATTTTCAGAAGGAAGGACAGAGTTTTCACCTTGCTTTGTGTCGTTAATCATCACCCCTCATGCAGTACACAAATCCTCCATGAGCAATTTCTCATCATATATAACGCGCTGACACACAGCGTAGTAAAGAGGATGTTGTTTATGGACACTGCATTAATGTCTGAAAACTAACGCAGTGATTTTTTTGTGTTAATTTTGTGGACATGCAGCCGAACAGGAGAAAATGACCCCACCCTTATCGTGACAAGATTCATTATTCTGCCCTAATGAAAGTTGATGCAGCAATTAAAAAGAGAAGAAGAAGAAGATGAAGGAGTGAGTCCAGTTTGTTAGAGGTCATACCAGCGGTGCCCTTTGTATGTGTGCAAGGTACTGCAGCAGGCTCTTAGTGTGGTAGATGGTGGGGTGGAGCTCAGGATTGGGGCTCTGCCACTGGCGATTCAAATCTTCTCCGCTCAGAGAACAACGATGACTACAGCAGAAAGAAGACGGCAGAAAAATGGAGAGAGAGAGAGAGAGAGAAGCAGAGCTAGAGAATCCTTCAGGACAAGATGTGTGTGTGTGTGTGTGTGTGTGTGTGTGTGTGTGTGTGTGTGTGTGACATAAAGCTGTGACCGACAGGCAGGCAGATGTATGCATCTTCAGTGTGTATGCCTGAAAGCTGTGAGTGCGTTGGCCTTTCCATCTCAGGACTCTCGTTACTCACTTTCCATTTATAACTCCATCAGGGTTCAGCATGGGGACGATCTTGAAGATGTAGGCATCTCTCAGGCTGGCTGCCAGCGGGCTGGTGCCCATCAGGAACTCCAGCGTGCCCTTCATTACCCAGCTAGCGTTGGTCTCTCCGGGGTGCACTCTGGCTGACAGGAAGATCAATGGGCGATTCCCTGAGGAGGGCGAAAAGGGGAGAGCGGGGCACAAACACAAACGGAGCGAGATGGAATGAGAAAACAGAAGAAAAAAAAAAGATTCTTTAATTTAAAGTTTTGCAGAGAAGCAGCGATATTAAACTACAGGAGACAGAAAAACGAACTGTGTATCACTTGAAGGTCTTCGTAAACCCAGGGCGACTGTGATGGGGTGACATGAGTCAGTCAGTGGGAAGGGAACATTAAGGTCAGTAATCGGGGTGGGATCGAAGGGTAACTCACAATATGCTACAATATTTTGTGTTACCGCCACATTTTCAAAAGAGGACATATCATACCCCTGTCCCACCTCTTCAAACAGTCCCCTGTGGTCTAAATGAAACATCTGTGCTGTGCTTTGGTCAAAATATAACATGAATCAAGCACCAGAGGAGGTTTGTGACCCTGTATAAACCAGCTCTCTCAGAACACTCCGTTTTGGTGTGTGTGTCTCTTTAAATGCAATGAGCCCCCCCTGAGCTTTCCTGGTAGACATCACTCCTCTGTAGAGAGAATAAAAATGGCAGACCAGCGCAAAAGTTTTGTTCTCGGCTGGGGGTGGAGTCCATGGGTGGAGATATCAGGGGAGGAGAGGGGATTTTATTCTACCAGAATTCCACTGTGACATCACAAGGAGAGCACATTTGAAACGGAGTATTTTCCTCTGTGTTGTAAGACTTATGCAGACCACAAACAAAGGACTGGATGGATTTATTTCACATGTTGTGGGTCTGTAGACACTCAGGTTACCCAGATATATGTTCAGAAACACTGTGGAAGTGGATTTTTCATAATATGTCCCCTTTAAGATGAATCCTCCATCATGAAACAGATTTGATATTCCACACAGACCCACGTGGATGAACTCACTGAATTGACAGATGTGATCATTGGAGTTGGACTCTGGCATGGCAGTGATGGTGAGGAGGGGGCATTTGTTTCCCCCTAGAGTTTCACACAGGACGTCCTGTCTCAGGTAGATCTGGGGGGTCCTCAGAGCCTCCAGTTTGGACAGGTGCATCTGAGGACACGATGGAAAACAGCAAACTAAGAATTCGACATTTCACTTCAACTCCATGAAAATCTACAACTTGAATGTACGGCTTCCTCTCGACTTGTTTATAACATCTCTGTTGTTTTGTTTTCATGCTGGAGCTAAAGGGCGCCATCTACTGGATCAACAAGGTCACACACGCTTTAATATTTACACTCTATTTAATGGTTACTGGTATTGTAAATGTTACTGGTATTTTAACGGTTACTGGTATTGTAATGGTGTGATGGTTACTGGTATTGTCACGGTTACTGGTATTGTAATTGTATTGTAGTGGTTACTGGTATTGTAATGGTGTAATGGTTACTGGTATTGTAATTGTATTGTAATGGTTACTGGTATTGTAATGGTGTGATGGTTACTGGTATTGTAATTGTATTGTAATGGTTACTGGTATTGTAATGGTGTTATGGTAACTGGTATTGTAGTGGTTACTGGTATTGTAATGGTGTAATGGTTACTGGTATTGTAATGGTGTTATGGTAACTGGTATTGTATTGTAATGGTTACTGGTATTGTAATGGTGTTATGTTAACTGGTATTATAATTGTATTGTAATGGTTACTGGTATTGTAATGGTGTGATGGTTACTGGTATTGTAATTGTATTGTAATGGTTACTGGTATTGTAATGGTGTTATGTTAACTGGTATTATAATTGTATTGTAATGGTTACTGGTATTGTGATGGTGTTATGGTAACTGGTATTGTAGTGGTTACTGGTATTGTAATGGTGTTATGGTAACTGGTATTGTAGTGGTTACTGGTATTGTAATGGTGTTATGGTAACTGGTATTGTAATTGTATTGTAATGGTTACTGGTATTGTAATGGTGTTATGGTAACTGGTATTGTAATGGTTACTGGTATTGTAATGGTGTAATGGTTACTGGTATTGTAATGGTTACTGGTATTGTAATGGTGTTATGGTAACTGGTATTATAATTGTATTGTAATGGTTACTGGTATTGTGATGGTGTGATGGTAACTGGTATTGTAATGGTACCTTAAGAGTGGAGTATGTGTACGGGTAATGATAGGCAAAGTAGCAGACGTCGTCCTTGTGGCTGAAGCTCGTTGTGAAGGTCATCGTGTAATAGGATTTTCCTTTCTGACCGCCGGCTGCAATGGAGCTCCTCGCAAAGTGATTCCTATGAAGAAGTTCAAACATTTCATGAGTTAACATTTCACAATAACGTTACCACAAGTCAGTCTTTATGAGGTACACTTATACGGTATCTTTATAACAACACATCGCTCGTCTCGTTTACAGTTTCTGGTAACTTTGCAGTGGATGTGTACATTCTATTATACGTTTCAGACTGAGCTCATGGTTCAAGTCGGAGTTATAGCAGACTGAATTTGTTTGAGCAGTAATATTCTGCAGCCCTTTGTGTTAGGTGGGGGTTATTTCTGTAGTAGATGGACAATTATGAAAACGTGAAACAGACTGTGGATCATCTTAGATTTATTAATAAGGGTATTATAGCCATGGTCAGACAACACAGAAACACAACACACATGGCTGACAAAGTGCAGACCATCGCTGACCCATGCTGACCAAGATCTCACAATCATTGAGAATCATTGCCAAAGCGGCCATCATGGGCAAAATGGCAAAATCTTCATCACACAGTGTGGCTTATATTCTGCTAGAAGGTACAGCCCACAAATTCCTTTCTATTTGGGTACATCACTATAAAACAATAAAGATGACATGACACCGATTTGTATACATAACAGATGTAGACTCTTTGTCTAGCAAACAGTTGTTGACAACATATGGTTGGCTCCTATCCAAACACAGATCTGCTACAATTTACATGTTTCACCATATAAGGTTACAGCTTCACAGACCCAAAAGAAGAATTACTGTGAGATGGTTGACACAATTTAAAGATATGTCCACAAAATTATCAAGATGAATGAATCCATGAAAAAACACTTAATGTCTCTGAACAGGTAGGACACACACCTTTATGTTAGCTTCAACAGATCAGACTCAACAGAAGAATTAATGAATGTAAAAAAAAGGAAAAGTGGAGACTGATAACTAAAGACATTTCACAAAGGCGGTGACCTGATGATGAAGATCAACTTTATGGGAAAGCGCTTGTGCACTCAGTGGAATAGCGCTGCATGTCCGTCCTGTCTCTATGACAACAGTGTGTTGACAACGGCTGCTGTCTGACCCGACACTGCTCCGTTACTTTTTACTGAATGTCTTATAGTTGAGATAGTTTTTACCCCAGCTGACACGGAGCAAAGAGCATGTGGGAACAAGACACGATCTGTAGGAGGCAAAAGTACGGGGACTATCATACATTTGGAAAAGAGCGATGGTGACGTCAACAGAGGCTTTCTAAAAAGTTGAAAGATTTTCACTTCAAGCGCTCGGAGCCGCCACACAAAGTGTGCTCTAAACGCTGTGTGCTGTACTTTTTCTCAGGGTAGCCACGTGCAGCTACAAACGCTCTACTCATTGAAAACAACTGAAAAAAAAGACGCTGGCACTCAGAAAATATGCTAAGTGGACAAAGGGCCTAAGGATTCACGTGTGTTTGCACAAAAGATGGCTTTGTGTCAGTGGGCGATTTGGTTCAATGACACCTACCTATTTGTTGTGTTTGTCATTAAAATATCTATAAAATCAAGAAATATATCAAACAATCATATTGCAATGTAAACAGGTACCTATGAAGGATTATACCGCATTACATTTTTTTTTTTACATTTGTGCAGGCAGTGTTTGTGTCTTCTGAAGAGGATACCTTTCCAAAATGTTGCAGTTCATTAAAACCAGCTCATAATAACTTTGTCAGTGCAGTGCGCTATAAAGCAGTCAAGATGTGGATTTACAGCGATATTAAATACATACAGGAGACATTGGATTCATTACACTGCACTGCAGCAGGTGACAAAAACAGCATGTTATTTATCTGTTCTCTTCAAAGCACACTGGTAACTGAGTAACACAGATTTATTCCACTGTGTGTCTGTTACATATATATAGATGGAATAAAAGCCTAATGAAGCTTTTATTCATTTGCTCTCTTTATATATACTGTATCAGTCTCTGGGTGTTTTGCATACTGAGTGTACCCACTTGTAGTAACAGATGTCTGTTCCTGTTCTGACCCAGCGAGGCCTTCCACTGATCGCCTCCTGCACAGAGTACATCAGTACCTGCATGCCTACACACACACACACACACACACACACACACACACACACACACACACACACACACACACACACACACACACACACACACACACACACACACACACACACACACACACACACACACACACACACACACACACACACACACACACACACACACACACACACACACACACAGAAAGCAGAAAGGAACACGAGTTATGAATATGCCATGCCTGATGTTCAAGTGAATAATTGTGCATAGTCAATGCTTTTTAGGCTTAGAGCTGCACGCCAAAAAAGCTCTTTAAATAGTTCAATTTAATAGAATATTTACAAAAATATGAAAATCACACGGAGACTCTTTGCCTCTCACCGTAGTTGAACTGGCTGTTGGACTTCTCACAGTTGATGATGTTGAAGCGGTACATTGTTCCCACTCGCATACCGCTCACCTCAAAGTAGAACCACTGATGGTAGTGGTTACTGTTGATGTCTGAATTCAGCACCAGGTCGTACTCATTTCTGGAGAAACACCATAATTAGATTAGAGCCAAACATCGTCAACCACAAATCACACTGGAGGGAAAACATTTCACTTTTATTCAAATTCAGTTCAGATGAAGGTCCTGGTGTTGTGGTACTCGAAATAGGACCTGGACTCAAGACCACTTTTTTGAAGGTCTCGTCTCGGATTTGAAAGCATTTTTACTCGACCTTGTCTCCGTCTCAATCAGAATTTTAAATCAAGAACGGCCAAGACAGACATTACTGTCTGATAAGAAGGAAAATGTGTCTTTCTAGAAGAACAAATAACTTCAATAACCTTCACCTTCCTGGTGTTACGGTCTAAGTGAGTGACACACTCTGCACACAAGATGATGATTTTTCTGTGATATTTATGGTCTCTGTCTTGTCTCTGTGTCACCCTACATTGGTCTTGGTCTTGGTCGTGATCTCTTAATGTCTTGGTCTTGTCTTAGTCTTGTCTTGGTCTCGTAGCGCTCCGGTCTCAGGTATGTCTTGGTCTCTGTTAGTGTGGTCTTGACTACAACACTAGTAGAACCTTTACAGGAACATTTGACCCCATCTTAAAAGATACTAATCTGATAAAAAGAGAACCTTCTCAGACCATGTCTCCCATAGCTTGTCGTAATAAGCATGGTGAGAATGGTTATTATAACCCAGCTCTGCTCCCACAGTTTTTTCTCTAGATTTGTTTTAGAGTGTCAGGAAATAAAGAAACAAAAAAGCTGAAGATATGATACACAGTGCAGCACATGAAATATGAAACCACTGACCCTAACATGACCATATTTTACAGGAACATATTTTCTTGTTTTTTCTGTGTTGGTAATGAAACCAACAGGATTTAGTTTCCCTTTACAGGCTCCTGAACAACTTATTAGAGCCATCTTTAAATTTCCTTTTCAACATAAATAAGCTTTTTGCATTGCATATCTAGATAAGTATAACAGGAAATCTTGAACAAGGTTACGTAAGCTTCAAAGTCAGCTTGGAGCCCAGAGTGAAAAGAGGAGGAATGAAGAAAAGGGCCAACACTGAACTCTTTCTTTGTTTCTTCTGATGTGTCAACAATTACTCACTTTCTCACTTGAACCACCTTCCTCAGGTTTCCAGACTCAAACTGAGAGTTGAACTTCAGCGACTCCCCGTTGTCTTCAATCAAAGGACAACTGAGAATACAACAAAACACATTCATGTTAAAATGTCCAAACGCTTCATGGGATACTTTAATCTGCTTTGTTAGTGTGACACCTCTCAACAACAAGGAGTTTAAGCTGAATTGGTGTCATGGTTTGGGATCAGAATCTTTAAGAGGAACTCACCTTGGAATGTCCAGGTCATAAACTACTTTATCCACGATATCGTTAGGATGGATCAACCTCTCAATGTCCTGGAATATCTTAGACCTGCAGGATTAAATGCAAAAACAAACACACTGTAAACATAATGGATGTACGATTTGTTCTTCATCCATACACAGCAGAGTTTGAAATGTAAACTGCAGGCTCAAAAAGAACTCACAAATATCTCCTTAAGTTGTTCTTAAGTTTGTACTTATGAGACGTTCTTAGACAAATCGAAGGTAGAGTCATGATCCTGTTTTTAAACTGCAGATTGTTTGCGAGCACATGTAACCACATCCGGCATATCAGCACTCATATGTGCAGAAGTTTGGTTCAAGTGTTCTTACCTAACAGCAAATCCAAATAAAGAAGAGGGCATTTCTTTCCAAAAAAAGGTTGGTGAATGATGTCCAAAGAGTGGAAAAGAAAATCACTTGCAGAATCATATCATTGCATTTTACTTTTCCCAAATCTCTGCCTGAAGGTTTAAAAAGTGCTTTACTTAAACATTGCTATTGCTAGAACTACTACGCAAAAGAATATCGGCAAACAACAAAGTATGAACTAGAAGACGACGCTGAATGACGCAGAGTAACTCTAGAAAGCTGCCGGCTGTGGCTGCATTGGAACTTGATGAAGACAAATTTGTTTGTGTCAAAGGTTGAGTTCAGTTACAGAACATGTGTTTCCCATTTTCAGTTCTTTCAAGTAGTTTTTTTTTTTTTACTGTCGACCAAAAACTGACTGATTTCCTCATTTCCACATCCAGTGGCTGACAGTCTGATCCCTTGATATTTGCTTCCTGTCATCCTCCACTCTATCCTCCCAATATTTTCCACTCACTCTCATAAAATGACGGCATATAAAAAAAAAAATGGACAGAAAAATATCTTCCAAAAAAAAAAAACATCTCACCTCTGAACGCCATAAACTCTCTCCAGATGGGGCTCCCTGAAAGTTGGAGCCACATGGCCAAAGTAGTCTGGGTAAGCCACTTCAGCGTACTGAGGTACGGAGAGCGTTCCCTTCACCATCTCCACGTAGAGGTCGGGGTCGTGCAGCGGGAGGAGCAGCGCCGTGTCCGGCACCTCCAGAACAGCTCCTTCCGCTCCCTCGTCTTCAGCACCCTCTGAGCCACAATCCGATCCCCAGTTGCTGCCTCCTCCTCCCACACGCAGCGCAGGGATACCCCCCAGGAGCAGGGGGGACTGGATGTGTCTTGTGGTGTTGACCGGGGACCCTTCTTGTTTGACTCCCTTTCTCCCTCCGTCGTCTGCACTCAGAAACACCTCCTCGTCCAGAGACACGCCCTCCAACACATTCACGAGCTCCTGTGCTATCACCTGCCCCTGAGGAGGCCTGCTGAGGGGGGAACGTGCCGAGTGTGTGTCGGGGGAAGGAATGTTGGCCTTCTCCTGTTTGTCTTGGTCCTTGTCCAGGTGGATGGTGTCCAGTTCTAAGGGCACTAGAGGAGCAGGAGGAGTGGGCGTGGGTGCAGAAGGAGACGGGAGTGTGTGTGTTCCTTTGGTAGGATTGCAACCCCCCAGTGGGATCGATATGGGATCCCGTTTGGGGGACAGGGCCTGAGCTGTGGGCACTATGATTGGCCGAGAGGGCTGAGTGGAGGCTGACGATGAGGAGAAGGTGGATGATGAAGATGTGGTAGAGGCACTCTTCGAGCAATCAAAGTTGAAACCCTGCAGAAATAAGATCCACAGATCAGAACAAAGTAGAAAAAAAGAACGTCATCCATCCTAACTATGAAAACAGAAATAAAGACTTAGCTTCATGTTGGTTATAGACACAGTCTGTATTTTTAAGACTAAGAATAGACTTAAAACTTTCCTTTTTGATAAATCTTATAGTTAGTGCTGGTGCTGGTGTAGACCAGCTCTTAGTTATGCTGCTATAGGCTCAGACTACCGAGGGAACTGGCACCTTGAGCTCCTCTCTCTCTCTCTCTGTGCATATACAGTACATCATATTACTGCATGTATCCATCTGTAAATCTCAGTCACTAACCACCTACTTTCCTGGGAGCTCTTGAGCTCTCTTAGGCCTGCCAGAACAAGCCCTTTTGTAATGTTAACAGACAATGAGTAAGGTCTTTTACCTGCTTTTTGTAACGTGTCTCGAGATAACACTTGTTGTTGAGTTGACGCTATACAAATAAAAATTGATTGATTGACTGATACAATTGTTGTCAACAGTAAACAAAATACTTGCCTGGAAGTCCTCAGAAAGCTCCACAAAGAACCTTTCATAAACCCTTAACTCCTCAAAGGGACGTCCAGGGATCTTTTTGGGATGCAGCTTGTTAAGGTCCGTCTCTATGTCGTCATTCTGATCGAAAGGACACAGAGGGAGCAAACACATCAAACACAATCGTAGATCAGGAACTGTCCAAGGAATATGAGGTCGAGAAAACTAAATATTTAAAACAGCTGAAGAAATAGAAACGTATGAGTGTTGTTATATTTCTGAGCGCGTCGTATTTAAGTGATTGTCTGGTTGTTTCCTCACAGCAGAGCAGAACAATGTTTTCATCAAACCAGATAAGAGAGATGTTTAAAGTTATCATATGTAATTGTTTGGCCACATCCAGTGAGTCATGACCGCCCTCTGCTGGGAATAAGGATGTGTGCAACTAGACGGCATCATCATCACCCTCATCAGAGCGACATACAACTGTGGCTCAGCTATGTGAAACTCTACATTCTGTATTATACAATCAAAGTGTCCCAAAGTTCCCACAACTGAATTCTAACCTGATGTTTTATTGCTAACTGTGAAATTAAATGTTAATTTCTATACAAAACTTCTGTTTTTTTAACTAAATGGCTCGTTTCTAAATCAATATTCTTCAGATATTTTTATTTTTATTTTTTTACATCAAACTCTGTAGTGACATTCAATTACGATATATATATATATTTTAAAATGTACAAGAGGGCTATCTCTCAAAGAACGGTATCACTGAGTTAAAACAACATTTTTAATATATATTGCAACAAGTCCAGACAAATTTCCAGACTTTGTCTGCACCGAGACTTGAACTGCAGGGTCGCTGGTTCAAGTCCCGGTGCGGACCAAATCTGGAAATTGGTCTGGTAGCTGGAGAGGTGCCAGTTCACCCCCTGAAGACTGCCGAGGTTTCCTTTAGCAAGGCACCAAACCCCCCTACCAGCTCAGGAGCGCTCGCTGTGGTTAGACCCCTCACTCTGACATCTCTCCATTAGTGCATGTCCACAGGATCCTGTTTGTGTGTGTGTGTGTGTGTGTGTGTGTGTATTTCAGCCTGTGTGTGTAGCATGTTCAACAACAGAGTGTAAAATTGAATTTCTCCTAGCGGGATTAATAAAGCACATTTTGAATCCTGTCCTGATGTGAAATACTGAGCGTGCATGTGAGTGTGGAGCATTACAGCGGTGTGCTGATCCTTCTCGTCCTCCTCGTTCTCGTATCGTTCTCCGTGTCTGCGTCCGTCTCCTCGTTATCACTTTCATCCACCACATCGTCCACTGCGTATGCACACACAGGAAGAAAGTTATTATGGTTTTCATGTCTCATATTTCCCCTTGTTTCTCTGCCGAAGAGAGGAGTTTGTCATCGTCCAAGCTGTGTGATCAAGCTTGCACGTATGCAGCTGCGTAAACTAAACAGATTTGATCAGTGAGTCTCACCACTATGACAGGAAGAGAGCAAATTAAACAGAAGAAGCGATGTGAGCTGCTATGATCCAGAGAGAGGAGTGAGCGGCCTGGAAAAGGGAATAAATGCTCGGCAGTTTATCTCTAACCAGCATGTCTTCAAGTACATTAAGACTACAGTATAGGCTTGTCATGTTAGGGCGTTCTCCATGGTCAGTTCACTGACACAACACGGCTCTAAACTGAAAAAGGCAATAAATAGATGATGCCAATCAGAGCTGTCAAAATGGTGTTTTTCCTTTTTTTTTCCCAACTTCCTGTCTTACACTCATTATTTTTCTGTGCTCAATGTCGCCCTCACACAATCATAAAAGACATGGAATAAAACATACACACAGGATCATTAAGCAGATTGAATGAAGCGTAATGTCACATGACAAATGTGTTTTTTTGGTCAGATATTTTTATTTTTGCTCACATTGAATGAAGAGCAAGTATTTGACCATTCTGTGGACACAAGGGTGTAAATTAGTCGAGGACAGTAAAAGAAGTAGAAAGGTCTACTGATGAGCAGGCAAGCACATATGGAACAAACACCTTCACTATGTCTTGGTTACTAACACACGTCATGTGTTAGAGAACGATGATGTGAGGCGAATGAGGAAGCAGCGGTGAGTGAGTCTGAGCACTCTGAGGATGGAGATGTGTCTTACGTACGTCTTACCCTTCTTTAAGGGCTTGTTGCAGAGCTGATGGCTTTTCCTCCCTGTAAGGAACATTGTGTGCAGCAGTGTCAACCGTTTTACTGTGTCGAGCCTTTATGGTATTCAAGATTGAATCTGGGATCAAAAATGGGTTCTCTGTCTGTTCTTGCATAATTGCTAATGAAAGCTTTTTGCACACAAACTGTGAGAAGCTGGAGCACACTGGTGAAGTGTGTGTGTGTGTGTGTGTGTGTGTGTGTGTGTGTCCCCTGTGTCCTCACCCCCAGGTGGCTGGCTGTACAGCTGTGCCACAGGCCCCGCAGCAGGTATATGTGGCAGCTGGTAGTGGAAGGCTGATTTGATGGTGGGCAGAGGAAGACGGTTCTTAGGAAAACACTTCCTCATGATGAGGCTCGACGTGTTGATCAGAGGATCCAGAGTCCGCACTGGGAGACACTCCTGGGAACAAAACCAGACAGAAAGTGGTGAGTAGGTGAGAATGTGACTATGCAGTGAAACATACTTCACATAGAGGTCTGCACAGTGTTCAATAACATAATGCAACATTTTCATGACGACATGAAAGGCGATAAAGAAACATTTAAGAGAGCATATAAGCAATTCCTCCGTTTTTTAATGTCTATCTGCTGTTCTTTATGTTCCTTAAGTGTCTCCTCAATGCAAAATAGATAAAAAAATATTTTTCACCACAAAATTTGCCCTTAGTATCTGACTGCATAGAAATTAGGACTGGGAATCTTTGGGCATCTCACGATTCAATTTGATTTAGATTCTAGCTTCATGATTCAAAGTCTATTTATAAATTAGTACATACTTTGGGATCACTCCAGTCATCTGTGAGACTGGCTGATTTTCTTGCTGCTCCACTTGTCATTCTACTGAGTTAAAAGAGCTAGCATTAGCTCTTAGCAGGGAGGGACTGACTAGACAAAAATAATCAATTTTTAAAAGTAATGAATCTATTTAAAATCTCAGATAAGAATCTACATAAATTGGGGCGCGCTGGTGGCGCAGTGGCAGCGCGCGTCCCATCTGTTGAGACTCTCGTCTCGAGCAGTAGGCCCGGGTTCGCTTCCACCTCTGATAGAAACAGTGTGTAAACGTGGACCCTTATACTCAGTACCCCATCAACAGGTCAAATCTACACATGCAGAGTGAGAAAGCATTGCTCATTTGCATAAAATAATTCATCTTATGCATCGTGATAAACTCAGATTTATGCAATGAATTTATGCAAACACTCATAATATTGCCTTCCATGAGTGTGTCACAATCTCACACACCGTGGAGGAGTTGTAGAGGACCCTCATGCCGTCAGCGTCTATGAAGGCTTTCCTGCCCAGCTTGATGTTGGTGATGTTCCTGAGGCAGACGAGCAGCCCTTTACGTATCAGCATGTGACGATGTCTTGTGTCGTTGCGATGCCAGTCCAGGTACAGAGCCAACAAGATCGGAACATGTCCGCCATCGACTGCACGGCGAGCATTCGTCTCTGCAGAGAGAAAGAAGAGAGGGGCCGCACTGGTAACTTTTACTTGACAGTTATGGGCTAAGATTAAAAAAGAACTGGAAGAGTGAAAAGAAACACAGAGGGGGTGAGTGGGGGATTGAGAGTGGACATTCTTGTTAAATGAACATTAACTGTGTTTGATTGAAAAAAAACAGAGAATCAATCAAGGACAGGCGAAGGGTAAAATGATGATGGAGGTGAGGGAGACATAAGGGAGCGGTACTGGACACAAACACTGATTAAAGATCTTTACGCTAAACCACCGAGGAGTCAAAAAGTCAATGCTACAAAGTAAATTACTCACTGGATTTGAGCAGAGCTCCCAGTGCGTCCAGAGCTACCCTGTTGATTTAGAAACAGGTCAAATGGGTTACATGGTCTGCTGAACACACAACGTCAATAACTGATGTTAAAAGACAAAAGCCTGAGGATGCCACTCGTCTGTTATAACACGACGTGCATGCTGTCTCGATCGTCCTGACGTACTTGAGCAGGCTGGTGTTCTTCTTGCTGTACGGCGCCACGATCTTGAACATGAGCTCCACCACTCCGTTCTTGCCCAGAGAAATAGCATTCACCGCTTTTAATGAACAGACACATAAAGACAGAGCATTACAGCAGCTGAAATATAAGAACTGAATTCAACTGAGTCAGTTTAAGGCAGGGATGGGCAACTTTGGTCACAGCAAGGGGCCGCATTCATTTAATTCTCACTGCCCGGGGTCCAAATTGTAGAATACAAAACAATTAAAGTCAATTATGTCTCAAATTTAACTCACATATACCAGTGCTCAAATACTATTATGGACATATTTCTGGTTTTCATGATTTCATGGCAGATTTTCTCATGTTTTCTTCTTGATTCCAATTAATTGATATGTAAAATTGACCTGAGGGCCACGTTAAGGGTTGATGGGGGCCGCCAGTTGCCCACCCCTGGTTTAAGGTGAACATAATAAGATAGTTTACAGTGTACTTCCAGGATTTCATCATTTATTTTTTTATATTTCTTGACGCTGTTCTGCTGATGCTCAAGGACAAAAAGGCAACAATCTGAATGACATGGACTCAAACGACTTACAGTTGGTGGAGTAAACCCTGAGAACCTGCAGGCAGGGCAGAAGCAGTTTGGTGTTCTGTAGGTTCTGTTTCAACAGGTTGACTGTGACATTCAGCGCTCCGCTCAAACGGGCCTTCACACCAAACTTTCTGTCTGAACACACACAGGTTGTAAGGTCAGTGATTATACAGAGAAGGCTTTTTAATATGGGCTGAAAGATCTTAACTTTGGTGAGCTTTGGTAAAGAAACAAAGAAACTCATCAGGCCAGCTTGTGTTCAGACGTGACAGTGAGCGTACCTTTAGGGCCGACCTTTGCCAGCAGTGAATGAAGCTGCAGCATGAGCTCCTCACTAGGAGGCAACTCTTTACTTGCAGAGATGAGAATCTGAAATAATACTCCCGTTCCTCCTTTAGACACAAATACTCCGGCCCTGCGGCCTCTGCCTGAGACGGAAAACAACAAATAAAAAGCATTAGATTCAACATTATGTCATTCAAGATTGGACTACAACAAATCATTCAGAGGTAGTGATTGCCTGAGAGTAAAACATAGAAGCTACGCATATGAGGTTGAAATCCTTGAAAAGACAGAATGACCGCTATATTATCAATGCCAGCTAAAATGTTCAATTCACAAACACAATTAACTGTTTAGGGCTGTCTTCAACTAACATGTTTTTTTTCCCCATTTTCAATACAAAATCAATGTAGTTTAGCATTTTCAGCTCTCAGCGTCCTGACTACAAACACGCCCTCAGCTTCAGCGTTTTGTTGATGCAGCGCTCACAGCACTCTCAGTTGAAAACCGCTTCTAAATGTCACTTCTCCCTCATCAACCAATAACAGTCACGAAGGGGCGGGACTTCCAAAATCAATTAAGTAAAAACATCGGTTTATCTCATGCACCCAGAGATCTGTTCTTTCAAGGGTAAAACTGTCAGGTCTAAAGCTGCTGCTTGTAGTAGGAAAACGTATTGTTTTAAGAAATTTTCTTGATTTAAACCAAAAATCAAGCATACAAAGAAATTTAAAACTAACTTAGTGGTTACTATCAGGGGAAGCCGAAGTGGCACCAAAGAACTTTTGTATACTAGCAACAGTAAGCACCAGTGAGAAGTGATCTGAAACTGAGGTTGTGGGCGCGGTCAGTGCAGAAACGCTCATCAGTGCAGGTCCTTGTACTTTCAAAAACACGTCTTTGTCATTTTTCACATTACTGTTTTTTTTCTACCAAAGAAAGTGCCAATGAAACTAAAAGCTAAACAACAAACAATAATGAAGCACAAAACAGTTCTCAGCTGTCAGAGACTGGAACAGTTCCTGAAGTATTAAAAGAGAAATGTGTACTCACCCACAGTCAGCAGCTCGGTAAGAATGTACAAAATGTTCAGAGTTGTCTGGACATCCCGGGAGCTCTGCACAACACACAAACAATACACTTTTTAAACAAAACACACACACAGGTATCCATACCGATTTATTGAAACTCGTTATAAACCTCGTCTTTCTCTGTAACAGACATTATTCAACATGTGCAACAAGATCTGCTGCAGAGTTTCCCTCAGCTGTTCATACAGATGCATCGATCTGTGAATTTATGTTATTCACAGTTTTCACAGCTTATAAAAGAAAACCTCACGTCTCAGCCATCATTTGTTTCTGACTCAAAGGAAGAAAATACCTTCTTAAAGAACACTGACATAGAATACAGTAATTCACCTTCAAATGCCAGGCTTGATATAATCTCACACAGTAAAACTGACGCTTCTATTAGCATCAGGTTAGCTTAGCACAAACACAGGTGTGTCACTGACTTCGATCAAGCTCCTGATTTTATGCAAATAAAACGTGCTTGTTGTTAAAGTGCGGTCGTGTCCAGTTGTGTTAGTAAGCCCGACCTCAAGTGAAGCCAGGATGACCTCCATTCCAGTGGAGCCTTTGGACATCACCTCTTTCCCGCTCTTCTCTGGAACACATAAACAAATAAAAAAACTTGTATAAATAAATGAGAAGTTAAAGAGTACTGAGTCTTGTAAAGTAACTTTGGGGTTGGTGGTCCAAACACAGCAGGAAGTGTCCTCTAAGAAACACAGATCTTAAAAACACATGCATTATATGTGGTTGTAAATAATCTTCTACATTCTCTTTTAAATACTGGATCTGCACACTCTGTCGTATTTAGGTTCTGCACACGTGAGCTCTAACTTTCTCCTGTTGTCCAGCTGAACAAGCGGTTAAGTCACAGCCTCTCTTCTCGTTCCGGACTTTCATCACCTCCACAGCGTACCGTGTGCTTGCTCTGTAATTTAGTAGCTGACAGATTCCTGACCTCTGTGAAGAGGCCGCGGTGACTCCTGTCCCGTCCGGACACAAATGCAAACTCTCAGGCACAGATACAGGACAGATAGTTGGAAACACTGAAGCATTAACATTTACAGAGGGGTTAGAGATGAATATCCTCCTCTAAGAATAGATTAATTAAACCTCACACAGACCTCCATTTCATTTATTTACACTGTTTATGTACTTTGTAAATGGTAAATGGACTTGAGCTTGTGTAGCGCTTTTCTAGTCTTCTGACTACTTAAAGTGATTTCACACTGCAGGTCACACCTACACATTCACACCTGATGGCAGAGGCTGCTGTGGAAGGTGACCATCAGAAGGATCTAATCCCATTCATACGCCGCTGACAAGAAGGAGCAACTCGGGGTTAAGTGTCTTACACAAGGACACATCGGACATGTTGCTGCAGGAGCTGGGGATCAACCCCGACCTTCAAGAGACGACCGACTCAACCAACTGAGCCACAGCCGCCCCATCATTGGTAATGATTTAAACACAGATGCATGTGTCTAGACTTACACATCATCTCTGTTTAGACAAACGTGAATATGGAAATGAAAGGTGCCGAGCAGTGAGCCTTGGGTTTAAGCATCTACTCTCAAAAAGCTTAAATCCAATAAACACGATGCACACACACAATAGGATCCGATCCATATATATTAAAGGAGTAACAAGACACACAAAAACACACTTTCCACACCAGAACAACTGTGTGCACATCTGAGCACAAGATCACACACATGTTAACACACTTCCGAGCGGTGACCTCTTTACACATTTCTGTCATGCCAGACTTTTTAAAACTCTTAACGACAGAAAGAAAACATAACGACATTTCAACACTCCTCCTAAAAAACAAAACCATGAAAGGCTCACGCTTTAAGGCGCATACATATCGAGTTGCTGTTTTTTTTTTTTTAACTTTCTGCATTTTGGAATAATTGTGATTTTATTTGAATTGTTGAACTGTGTGTGCATTATTAAGATTTGACCTTTTAAGGTCTCTTAAATTAAAACAGAAATACAGAGAGAGATGTACTGCCGACTCAGAGTCTGAAATCAAAAACATTACAAGCAACGTAGTCTAGAAAAACCAGGGATCAACCATTACTGCAGCTATGAAAACATTTCAGGCCTGAGTTGGACAGACTTTGTACTTAAACTGTTTACTGACTTCATCCTCCCTCCCTCATGTATCAAATGATGTTTCCTGTGATACAGACCTGTTATTAAATAAAACATGTTTAATTCAGCTTAATACCAAACACCATGAATGACTTTTTTAGTGAAGGTTTGAGTAAGTATAGCATAGCATAAGTCGTTTTTCTGAGTCATTATCCACCATCATTCGACTTGAGTGAAATATTTAAAGTTAAATGTTTGAAATGTTAGTTCTCCTAGGATTGTCATCATTATACTTAATAAGAATAACTTTAGTAATAAAGCAACTTTCAAGAACAGAGAGTAACAAAGTGCTTTACAAAAGGATGACAACAAACCAGAAAGAAATCAACAAAGTACAAAACAGATGAATCAAAAGAAAGTCTAAACAAATAGGTCCTAAAATCGCTTTTTAAAAGAGTCAACAGTGCCCAATAATCTTAAAATAAAGGTCCAGACTATCTTATCTGCAGGACACCCTCAGCTGAATGATGGACAGGTGTCCCGAATCCTGCTTCAGACAACACGACTGTTTTTACATTCAGAGGAAGCGACGAGAGATCGAGACATTAAACAAAAACAAAGAAGTCCTTATAAAAGTTTTGGCTCTACAACCTCTCCCTTGGTCTTTAGTCTGGTGTGTGGGACCACCAGCAAACCCTGATCAGAAGACCTCAGAGAACTGCAGGGAGTGTAAGGTCGTAGAAGTTCTGAGACGTAGGCCGGTGCCTGACCCTGCAGGACTTTCAAAGTAAGAACCAGAATCTTGAATTGTATTCTAAAACTGACGGGAAGCCAGTGTTAAGAAACTAGATACTTGATGCTATTCTAAGGATTTCCTATTTGATTTGATAGATTATTTATAACTCATGTATTCCAGTTGAAGTCTGAATAATTCCCCTCATTTTGCAGCCTACCTGGCGGGTCATCAGTGACCACAGGTGCGTAGTATCTCCGGGTGTAGCTGTACTCCATTTCATAACAAAAAAAAAAATCAAACTTCTTAAGCTCTTTGGGTGGAAAAAAAAAAACCAAAAATGTTCAAAATCCCATGCAGGTTCAATGCATGTGCAGTCCTAGAAGCACTCAAGAGTTTGACGGTCTTTGTGAAGCGTGGAGGGGACGCCGCTGCTTTTCTCTCTCTCCCTGCTCGACTGGCCAATCCCCGTCCCTCCAGCTGTGTACCAACACAGCGAGTTCAGGGGCAGGGCGCCCTGAACACAGTGATCAGCACCTGCTCTCGAACGCTACCAGAAACTAAATCATCAAATGCTCCTACAGAAAATTGTCAACTGCATAGGATCCCTCTCCACAGGAGTCCCCTTATCTCCCCCCTCCACCCTGTCCTCCCTTTCCTCCTACTCTGCACTGTGAGGAGAAAGAGAGACCCTGTACTGTGAAATAGAGATCTGCTGCCTGCCACTGGGTCTTACTTCATTCTCTAATACAAAATAAACAAGCACAAGTCTTTTAGTTTATAAAGTGAGTTTCTATATTTTATTTTTTATTTGCCTTTATTACATGTATGACTCAACAGCCCCGCCCTCATGCTGTTGTTTTTCACTTTCTCCGTCATCATCCTTCTTCTCTCTCTCGGTATCTCGACTTCCTCCTAAGCTCTTAAGACTCTGAACATGAGACTAGAGTACAGCAAAGTCCCTCCTGGGGTGTATAGTTACCGTGAACAGGTTCACAGACCCCCTAACAGACGTCACACACATGAACATTTCAAGTTGAAGCTGGGTGTGACATACAGCCTCGCAGCAGATGAGAGCAACAGCTGACATATCATGATGGACAGGGGTCACAGACAGAATGGTTTCCACCGCGCTCATCAGTCACGGAGGATTAACCAGTTTGATGGGTGTCTTTTTGAAGTGTGTGTATGGGGGGGGCAACAAATTGTTGGTAGAGTGGGGTAATAAAATTTAAGAAAAGTGAGAGGGAAGAAGTTCAAGGCACATTCAAAGCATAACAGCAAGCTCAAAATACCAGGTGATGATTCAGCAGAATCCTCCATTCGACACACCTGAGTATAATCTCAGATTCTTACACACACCTACAAAACAAACACTTACATGTGCCGCAACTGAAAACTAGAAGAAACATTCATTTAAAATCTAGGTTTAAAAATATGGAGTAGCAAGGTAAGCAGACACGTGGGGGAACCAGGATCATCAAGGTACCAGATGTACCACTGATAGGCTATTTTTCCAAGTCACTACTGTGATGAGAAGGAGAACCTCCCCTTCTAAAAGAACATGTAACTTAAAATCATTTTAAGTTCTATTTGTAGTTTTTTTTTTGACATATCGCCCAGCTCTTTGCACTCATACATTAACAACATTTCATAATATTGTAATAAAGACAGAGCGTTCCCTTTCACTCACAGCATTGAAGCATTGATCAGCAGCCTGCATTCAAACAAACAAAACATCCACTCTGGCTTTTAGTTTGACTTTAAAACATTAAGTATCAAGTCTTTTCATTATTAATTCATCTGGCAATATTATATATATTTGTATTAAAACTGATTTATTACTTAGTCTATAAAATGTCTAATAATGGTAAAAAAAAAAAAAAATTATGACACTCAATATCATGCCTTAAAGGTAAGGTTGGTAATTTTCTCCTGATACACTTTTTCAGATTTTGGTTGAAATTGTCTTCAGGTCCTGACAGAAGTTAATAACTCATGTTCTCTGAAAAAGGAACAAAGAAAATCTGTCATCTGTAGCAGTTTGTAAGTCTGTAAAAACTTCGACCGATGTCTGCCATGAGGTACCAATCTGAAGAACCAATCAGACGCCTCCCTGTCTCCCTGCTTGCTCACTACTTGTGTGCACGAGCTCACACTCAAAGCATGAGCAGAGGTCCACTTATGGACCGATGGCGCTTGTACATGTAAGTGAGGGGGCGTGGCTTCTGAAGGAGCACAGAGGGGAGGGGTGCAGACGGAGCACTGAGGGAATGCTTCTTTCAAAATCATGCTAGTTTTCAAAAATTACCAACCCTGCCTTTAAATATGTTTTCAGTCAGCGTAGAGCGAGTGTTTTAAAAAAAAAGTTTTTGTATCCTGAGAATGTTTGTTCATTTGTCTTGAAGAAACTACAAGCACTTTGAGGATCCTTAGTGTCTTTTTAATTAACTAATTGTCAAAGCAGCAGAGCAGTGATGCTTGCTTCAGAGATTTCCATTCATCCGGGCCGTGCAGAGAGGCAGAGAGACACCCTGCTGAGACCCTGAGACACACTCATGTTTCAGCCTTCTTCTTCTGCAGTCACATCTCCTTCTCTGCTCTCCTTTCAAAACAGTAACTAGATAACTACGGCAAGAGACGCTGTATCGATCCATCCACACTCTGACTACCACGACTTAACCGTCTATGATTACACAGCAAGTGGACTGAACACGTTTTTAATAGATTAACCAAAGTACTGACAAACAGAAAACATAATGCAGCTGAAACGTCACTCCCCCCCCCCTCCCATTGGCTCGAGGTGAATTCTTCAGATAAAATCCTGCTGCTTTCTCACATAAGCTCACTCTGACTTGCTGCGGTAAAAATACTAAGGGTACTGGCAGGAGAAACTCCGGGTGAAAAATGTGGCTGTTTTCTGCACGCGTTAAAGCCCAAATGTTTTAAATTTTAAAAAATGTTGGTGTGACACTGGAAAAAAAGTGAGCTTAACAAAACTCTGTAGCCCACTCCTCATCTCTGCTCCAGGCTTAATTACACAACCCTCTGACTGAGCTGTGGTCAAGCTGCATTGTGGGTATTGAAAGAAAGAAAGACTGTTCAATAAAAATGATCATTATCTCTGCCTCTGGGACACTTCACACCTTTTCTAACAGTCCATCAATGTTACGTGAGTGTCTATTTTGTCAGTTTTTATTGTGTATTTGTTTGTATGTAAAGCATTTTGTGATGTAGTCTGTGAAAGCTTCTACGCAAACAGACTTCACTTACTTAACAAAACTACTTACAAATCAAAAAGCAGACTAGATGTTCCTATCAGCATCTCTAATGTCAAGGAGGTAAGACACCAACATCAACTTCAAACCATCTCTGATCCATGCACACTCAACTACAGCATGTTGAACATGCACCTAAAGTGGGGTTGTCACTATAACAATTCCATACAGAAAAAAATACCTGTATTATTACCATGGCAACAGAAATAAAAGTCCTGGACATCCCGTACTGGGCGTCTAGAACGTACTGCACACTGTCTATATTTCACTAATACATTTAGAAACATGTTGGTACATTTCCAATGTTTGGCATTGATGCAGAGAGAGAGATTCATATTGATGTAACTAATATGAGATACACAGAGAGGACCTCTTCAGCTATTTTACACAAAACAAAACATGCTTCTCTGCTCTGTCTGTTTGTAAGAGACACAAAAATAACTGCTGTTTGAGACGCCGAAAGGACCTGAGAAGTGTCAGAGGAAATGTTGCGAATGTATTTGTGCAATTCAGAAAATGTGCAGGAGTTTGTGTGCAATTTCTTTAAAGACTCATTTCTCTCCCACAGTACGCACCTGCACTGTGAAATAAATGCTCCAAGTATTTTTTTAACCTGGACACAGCGCTGCCTGGTCCAGAAAAAGTCTCTGACACTGACAAAACTTTTGTAATAGACAAAATCACAACTTTTACATTATCATTAAACACCTAAAGGACTTCAGGTAAGACAGCGTTTGCCCTCTCTCTCTTTCTTTGGTGCTAGCTTTGGGTTGAAATCATGACTCAAGATCTGTAGTTTTTTAAACCTTCCTTACTTTTTTAACACTATTAAGCATTAAAATAATTTAATTTAGTAAGAATTTAATAAAAGTGCATCTTTTTAAAATGTGAGTTATTGAAAAGTATCCAAAATGTTGACAACTTTAAACACAACAATGTTAACTCATTGTTTTGTTAACTGCAGCTAAAAATAAAAATATTGTATAGCATGAATATTGTGCAGTTATGTGGCTGTACTAACAATATAATTTAATGCTCATGCAGTTCTTCATTAAAAGAAAGCACCAAAAGGGGGCAGTGCTGCTCATCAACACAAGCCCACCAGCCAGACATCACTTACCTTAACTACTACATAAATACAGGACGACGCTCGAGCCGTCCTTTCTTTTGTTTTTTTATGCGAGTCAGGTGCATGGTGTGTCATTGTGTGTTCATGTCTCTGCTCTCACCTTGTGTCTGAATGAGATGAAGTATCTTCGCAGTGACCTGTCTCGCCGTTTCCACATCCCTCCCCATGGCCTCTCCGTTCATCCTCTCCAGTTGTCCCAGGAGCATCAGCACCCTGGAGTTACTGGGAACACTGGAGATACAGACAGAGGGGTTGGTTATACTCTCATCATGTAGGTGCAGCAGGGCGATTCAAAAACCACCGTTTTGTCATTAAATCACAAAGTGAACGTTTCACCTGAGGAGAGTTGGCAGAGAAGTTAAAAACACTGAACTGATAAGTATTCAAATATCATACAGTTTGAATAACTGACTTGATAATTGCTCGTCTATGTGGTTCTTCTTGTTGTTTATGTGTTTTCTTCATGTGCCGTGTTGTCATATATGTAAACCTGTGTACCAACTGTGCAAAGCTGTGACAACATATTTCCCCTGGGGGAGAATAAAGTCTTACACTGTATTGTATCACACGGGTCACGACCTAGATATACAGCTGTATCCATTTTTTACCCCATCCCAATTTGAATACATACAACTTCATTGAAAAAAAATGTCCTGTACAGGGCTTAGGAGAAAAATAAATATACAAAGAAAGAAATCAAGCATATTGAAATCCATCCATACATCCACGTTTTATGTGTCACGATCGTGCATGTACAATCCCAGTTAGATGAAATCTGTCTAAACGTGTCGTCCAGGATTACAGATCAAGTATTAATCGGTTTAAAATTAGACAAATGCTCAGAGTGAGTCATACATGTCAAATCCAAGATCATAATAATCAAAAACAACAACATGTGTTCATGATAATACAGGGGTCCAAAAAATTACAAATTGGCAATCCATGCTGACACAAAAAAATCAATCTTTAACATTCCTATTTCATTTAATGACTATTACTGCTGTCTCCTGGGCCTTCATTATTTCTGAGATAGTGACCCATCCCCCATTTATAACCTTAGCTCAGCAACGCTCGACTGGAAACACAAGGTCAGAGGTCAGCTGTTGGTACAGCAACTGCAAACATGGGGCAGAGAATCAAAAGTCTGTGATTGTACCCAGTGGAGCAAAGTTTCTGATATGTCCTTATAAAGACAAAAAAGAGTGAGACGGAGGGGGAAAGAGAGAGAGAGAGAGAGAGAGAGAGAGAGAGAGAGAGAGAGAGAGCGATAGAAGAAGGCAAAGCTGCAAAAAATGTTAGGCAAGTATGGACAAACAAAAACACTGAAGGAGAAGTTTAACCTAAACAAATACGCTGCATATTCTCATACAGTAGATGAAGACTGACGACTTTAAAGTGATTCAATAATAAACTGAAAAGAATGTTCCTGTCGTGTTTCCGCTGCACTGATGATGATGATGATGATGCGGCTATTCTAAGTCTTCATTACAAATACATGCGAAAGGTTCATGTGAGGATAACAGACCCAGCACCTTTCAAACCCCCCATAGTCCAACAAGAGGACACACAGCGGTGTCACTGATGTATAGACAGCTGAAAGGTAGAAATGTTCAGCACATCAGGGAAGGAAAGGTGACGTACTCACCGGAAAAGAAACGGTAGATGTGAACAGACGGTTATGGGGGGGGGGGGCTTTTACACAGATCTCACATTTCAAAAATAACACAGTCTGCATGCGTTTGTGTCGACTTAGAAAAAACTCACCCTTTCTCTGTGGCCATTTTGGGTTTGTTCATTTTCACCACATCAACATTTCATGTCGTCTGCAAAAGACAGAAAATAAAGACCTTACTGAAAAGACATTTCGGCATAATCAATCTTTTACTCTGTGTCATTCCTTCCTTCATAAATTCAGGTTCTTGTTTTCCCCTGCGTTAAAAACAATCTGATGAGAAACCTTAACTAACCAGAGTCGTGTAAGTTCCTTTTCGTTCATAGACTCATATTGATAAGGACATAACTATTATGAGATACACACCGACAGAACCTCTTGACTTATTTTACACTAAACAAAAGGTGCTGCCCTAATGCCAAAGATCTCAAATTTCTGGAGACAAAAGACCTGCAGACGAGGTAATCTGAACACGAGGTTTGAAAAAGCAATACCTGTTTGTATTCACTGCATGACATAAAACACAGACAAGACCAAAACCTATAAGGACAAAATTAGAAAACATCGTACAGCTAGAGCACCTGGATCCAGCTGCAGGTCAGATATAATATTGCATTTCCACAGGTCTCAGAGTTAGCAGTGCAGTAGGACAGTCAGTGAAAACAGAAGTGTTTATGAGTTGAGATAAAATGAGTCATAAAAAAAAAAATGCTGCTGCTGCATCATTTAATCAACATTGCTTCTTTAACACACTGCTTATAGCAAGGTTATACATTTAATCTAACATTTAAGACATTTAAACTTTAGCCTGAGCTGCATATATCAGACTGGATTTTGCACACTTGACTGCTTTTTTATCATAATTCTTTATTTATCTATCATACTATGCACTGGCAGAGCTACTATTTTGTACTGTTATCTATGAGAACAGCTACTTATGCACATGGACCATTCATACCACTTTTTTTTATCCTGGCTATGTATTGTGGGCTCATGTTTTTTGTATGGGTGGGATATGTATGTATATATGTGTTGTGTGTTTGTATGTAAGCTGGCTGCTGGAACACCTACATTTCCCTGCTGGGATGAATAAAGTATATCTTATCTTTATCTTATATTCAAATATATAATTCCATTACTAGACATTTTGCCTGATCTTTACCCTTTAATCAAGCTTTTCCAAACCTCACTGAGTCACACTGCAAAGCCCTTTATTTCCTCTTAAGAGACAGGCACAGCTGGGAAAACACACCTGAAGACCTGAGGTCATGCTCTGGTATGTGTGGGTCGAGGAGGAGCATAGATGTTGCTTGAAGAGTCTTTGTTTAGGGTAATCTATTTGAAGCTTTTCTGCAGAAACAGATCTGATGTAAGGGGACAGTTGATGGCCTGGCTACAACAACCCGATTGGGCTGCACTAAACCACAACAAAAACACATTTTTAGAAAATACCACATGCTCATCATTTCTTGTCAGAATACTAGTCGGCTCGGGAGTTGATGTTAATCATCATTTAAAAGCCATTTTTTAGCTTAAACTATACGTTTAAAGTAAGAAGACCAAGAGCAGGCTGCTGTCTGCTGCACCTGCTGGACTAGTCAGTCATTGACGGCCGCCTGTCTGCGACAGCGGGGCTAGCTAACGGGGCAATCTGCTAACAATAATCCTAAATACAGAGCGAACAGGCAATGTTAGCCTCATAAATTAACCTGCGTTGTACTTAATATCATAAAAAAGATTTTACAAACCTGTGTAGGAAAGGAACTGTACGACCAATTCCGAATAAAGGAGGACCGCTGCTGTGTGTGTGTGTGTGTGTGAGCGTCGCTTGCAGCGCCCTGATGATGTTGTGATGAGACGACGAGCCCAAACTGTCAAAGGGGGAGGTGGAAACAACGCGAGAGTACGACAACGCGAGAGTACGATTCTCTGCGTGATTTAGGTTTTAGGGTTATGACACTGCATGGAAAGCTCTCAAATGAACCGAGTTCCCCACAACCATTACAAAAAAATACACTTTTTTTTTTTAACCCTAACTTGTCTTATTTGTAAGTTACCAGCTGCACGTTCGAGGCTTTTAACTTCACGACAAGGCAAAGGACTACAATTACCGGAAAGGACGCTGGCCTATGACGTGCAATTTCTGCGTCTAACATTTCAGTCTTTGAGGATATCTTTATTAGCTTCATGGTTGGTACGAGTTACTAAGGTATGTGCTTATTTACAATTAATGTGAAGGTTTCCCGTGATGTTTTTCTCATGGATATGCCCTTTTAGATGAACTTCATTCAGGATTCGTTCAAAGGAAACATCTATTGTTGGCGACATTAGCTCTTTTAGCTGAACGTTTGTCCTAGCTGCTGTAACATTAGTGATGGTTAGCTTCACTTGTTTGCATCTCTCGCTTTAATAAATCCTCTCAGAAACACCTCATGTGTGTTTTTGTTGTCGTCTTTAAGCAGTAAAAAGAGGATATGTTAAATAAACTGACAGGCTTTTATTCTTCTTATCTTCTGTTTAAGAATATCTGATAGAGAAGTCCTCATCATGATTTAAATATTGCTTCATAAATCAGTTAAAGATGAATAAATGGTCATAAAGAGATGGGTGTTGGGTGGTCACTGTACAGACAGTCTTATGGTTTAAATGATTGAGGTTTTCGGCTGCAGTCAGGTGTAATAAAATACCTTTTTAGGCTAAAACATGAGGTTAATCCTCTGCTGTTGACCCCCACAATCCAGCCCTGCCAGTCGAATATATAAGTGTTAACATGACTGTTTACAAAACGACTTTGTAAACACACACATTAATCGTTGTCCTTGTCTTTGTCCTTATGTCTCCTGTGTTTGACGTGTTCTTTATTCTGGTTTGTGTGTATTTGTAAGTTTTAGTAAAGGCCTAACCAGGGACAGGGGTCTGCAAATTAGTCTTGACTAGAAACCTGTGTGCATGGCATCTGTTTTATATTTTATATGAAACAATGTATTTGTCCCTGCTCAATAAACTCCTAAATAAAATAAATAGATAAAACACAGTTTAAGATGAAGACCTCAGTTATACAAACGTATGACCAAGAAATGTCTGTTGGATTACATTTTGTATTTATTCATTCATTCATTCATTTATTTATTTATCTATTTCAATCATCACAAAACATATTGAAGGAGAATGATAACCCTCATTTACAATTACATACAAAAAAAGAGCAGATACAAATAAAATCAGGTAGAAATAAAAGAAGACAACAAAGACTCACATTAAGAATCACATTAAGAGGTAAGGTCAATATGGAGACAATGAAATAGTTTGAAATAAAAATACTAAAAGCCAAAACAACTTAAATCAATAAGATCAGCAATTAAAACTCTGAATTGGCTCAATGCGGTCAGTTTAAAATGTTTTTGGAGCACAATCAAAAAACATTTTATCTTTGCTTCAGGATTTGGATGTGGTCAGCATCAGGTAATGTCTGAGCTGAAAGCTGAGGAGCTAAGTGTCTGCTGACACAGCGATTTCTGCCCCCCTTTTTTAATTAAAAAAATACATTTAGAAACTTATGAGCGTCTGAAATAGTTGATCATTAATCTGCCTAACAGCTCATCGTTGCTGCTCTGAAGAACAACAATGAAGGAAAAATAGTTAGGGTTTATTTATATTGACAGATACACTGCTGCAAAGAAAAACAATCTACATTTTATTTGATGTTGTACAGAATCCCTGTGAGGACTTTCATCCATACATTTCATTTTACTCAGTTTCCTTAAAATAACAAGACAATTGTGGTTGTTTTCTTGACATCTTGACTTATTTATCTCGTTTTCTCTGAATAGAAACTCTGTGTTTCCTGTCATAACAAGTCACTTACAGCTGTGTTCTCGAGATCTCCAGAAATGACCTCGTTATCGTGGGAACACCAGAGTTGTTATCTCGAGATGATGACAGAAATGAGTCCGGATCACAGGAAATAGAAGTAAAAATAAAATGTATGGATGTTCGTCAGCTTAGGGCTTCTGCAAGATTGTACTGCTAGACCTTGCTTATGTTTATGAGGTTGATATGTTGTGATATATATTTTGAAACCCTTTGGAATAACTTTATTTTCTTTAGTAGTAACCATGGTGATGAAGTCAGCCATCGAAGACGATGATGCTGGCTGGGGACTCGGCATCCCTGAAAAAATGAAGAACAATGCCAACTGGGTCGATATCACACATGAATTCAAGGGAGCATGCAAAGGTACGGACTCTTCCTGTGTGTGTGTGTGTGTGTGTGTGTGTGTGTGTGTGTGTGTGTGTGTGTGTGTGTGTGTGTGTGTGTGAGTCATCGCTGTGTGCTGATGACGGGGACTGACGCGTTTCTTCTTTTTCTCTTTTCTCGTTCTCATCTTATATTTATGCAGAGTTGAACCTCGGAGAGTTGCTTCATGACAAACTGTGAGTAAGGCGTACTGCTTTTTGCAGACTCATGGCTTTTAGGGATCAGTTTTATGTCCCATCGTCTAAAAACAGATTGACAAACATCGATAAGAAAGTAAAGACTCAGAATATTTTAGTTTTGTCTGTTGGAAAACCCACATTTTCAAATCAAACCTCCTGATAATCTGCATCAGCTTTTAGATCCGTTCACAGATGTTGTCATGTGCACTTATGAAACCTTTGTGAAAACAATAAAGACACTAACATACGGCTATGGTGGCAGGTTCGGCCTGTTTGAGGCCATGTCAGCCATAGAGATGATGGATCCCAAGATGGATGCAGGAATGATCGGAAACCAGGTCAACAGGAAAGTGCTCAACTTTGAACAAGCCATCAAGGTATAGTTCTGCAAAACTCAGATTCATCTTCAATAAGTTCAGGAAACTGTCCAACTGAATACAGATGTCGATGTTTTAGCTCGGCTGTTTGAATAACTGACTCCCAGATATGACTCACAGATGTTTCTATTTTAATCCAACATTTTGTGTTTTGTCATTTGTCTCTGTTTGTATTTCCGTCTGTAAATTAGTGTTTTTGCTGCGGCCTGTCTTGGCCAGGTCTCCCTTGAAAAAGAGGTTTTTAATCTCAATGGGACCAACCATGTCTTACTTTCAATCCCAAACTCTGGATGCAAAGTCTATTAAAGTAAACATTTCATTTAACCACCTGGTTCATCATTATTTCTATACATTCTGTGTGTTAAACTCAGGAGGGTGCCATCAAGGTGAAAGATCTAAGTCTTCCTGAACTCATCGGTATCATCGACACGTGTTTCTGCTGTTTGGTGAGTTTGACTTCCTCACACAGAGTTGTTTACTTTCACGTGTATTTAGAATTGCTGCTATTTCTAATTTCTTTTTCTGAACTGACGACAGAAAAATAAAAATTAAAAGCATTACTCTTTGTGAGAGAAAATCCAGGTTTGAGCATGTTTGTGTGTGTTGTTAGATCACGTGGCTGGAGGGTCACTCCCTGGCTCAGACTGTGTTCACCTGTTTGTACGTCCATAACCCCGACCTGATCGAGGAGCCGTCTCTCAAAGCCTTCGCCCTGGGCATCCTGAAGGTGTGTGACATCGCCCGGGAGAAAGTCAACAAGGCTGCAGTGTTTGAGGAGGTAAGCGGCTCTCTGAAATCTGCCTGTAGACATTTTTCACATCGCTTCTTTGTACATTCATGTTGATTCAGCGACTGTGTAATAAAAGTGTCCCAGTCTGTGAGTTCACATTGTGTTCTGGCGTTGAGGAAGTGAGAGCTCCACATACACACACACTCAGCACACACAGCGCTGCAACGTGTAACGCCTCTTTTACTACCTCCAAAGGCGGTACAGTGGTGGGATCACTTTGTCCCCTCCATTCCACCTCCCCGACATTCAGACTGAAGGCAAAATGTCACAGGAACGTACATAATGCGGCTTGAAACGGCAGTCTGAAAAGGGCTTGTGTGTGTGTGTGTGTGCGTGTGCGTGTGCGTGTGCGTGTGCGTGTGCGTGCAAATCTGAGAGGGGACATTCAGATTGCCGGGGAAAATAAATCACAACAACATTTCAATAAATGTGAGCACGCTTGTGGCAACATTTCCGTTGTTTCCAAACCCGTTTCTTCTGGTTCAGGTAATCAATTTATCTTAGCCGTTGTAGTGGCAATGTAACAACCAAAAGGCCACTGGAGGGCGCTTGAAGTCATTTCCAACTCATGGTGTGACTCATGAATAACAATCGGTCCTTCTAAAAAAACACCTTTTTATAAGGCCGGGTGTATAGCGATCTACGTTGGGTAAAAACTCAACACTGAACACCGGAGGACCCCAAAGAACGGTTGAAAAACTGTGTGGCTTCTTCTGATTCCTGATTTCCCTCGGCCGTTTTCTGTACACGTGACTCCCTTTTCTCACTGCCTGTGACTGTGATCACCGCCCCTGCCCAGGTGTGCGGGTGATGTAGCAGAAGAAACAAGTTGTGCAATGTTTAACTGACTTAACACACACACACCACATCACACCTCAAATCTGAGACAGCAGGTGTTTTCTCCCGGGCCTCAGTTGTTTGAAAAGGGGCTAGTAATAATTCAGTGTCATATATTTCTACATGTAGGATGAGTGATCGTTTCCTTTTGTGTGTAGGAGGACTTCCAGGCTATGACCTATGGCTTCAAGATGGCAAATAATGTGACAGACCTGCGTGTGACAGGTACAGGAACTCAATCTATCTCGATCATCAGCTTTACTTCAGAACAGCTGACGTCACCTCTCTGTCATTTGTTCATCCTTCCAGGCATGCTGAAAGACGTGGAGGATGAGTTACAGAGGAAAGTGAAGGTAATTGTTCTTGCTCATGATTTTTTATTCCTGATATGAAATACTTGAGTGTTACATTGTTTGACGGTGTCTCTTGTCACCGCCTCAGAGCACCCGCAGTCGACAGGGTGAGCAGCGGAACCCCGAGGTCGAGATGGAGGTAAAGTCCCTCGTGTCTGTAGAGAAAGTGATTTAGATCAGTGGTTCTCAACTCGTCTAGCTTCAGGAACTCCTCCCTGAAAGATCGCGAGCCAAATTTCTGATATTTTTTCAACCAAGCAGTTTGAAATATTCTGCCGTCTTTGCAGTTTCTGTAGTTTCTGTCCACTGTTTTGTACCACGGACGATGCAAAACATGACGTTGACAGACTGTTTGAGTCTTTTTCCGGGGACATGCTCACGACCCAAAGAAAACAGCTCCACGACCCACTTTCTGGTCCCGACCCGCGAGTGCACAACCACTGATTTAGATCATGTGAAAGTAACAAATCAGATCGTCTCTAAGCCCTTTTCTTCATCTAGTGCCCGACGTTTGATCCACAAAGTAAACCTTGATCCCTCCTTCACATTCTTTGCCCGTTATGTTTGTATTTCCCCTCCGCTGTCTATCAGTAGTGGGAGACTCACATAACCTCAGGAGACTCTTCTCTGATATTCCCAGCTGTTATAACAAGCAGTTATAATAATAATGAAGAAGAAGAAAGCCAAAAATCAGAGCCAAACATGGACTGAACAAAAAAGTGTTTCTGCTGCGAGCTTTCAAAGATTAGGTGTATTAATAACTTTCTAAATGTACATGTGATCCTGTTTAATGTTCAACTGGTGTGTTTTTTTTCCAGCATCAGCAGTTTTTGGCTCTTTTCAATAGAATCAAGTTCACGCGCCTTCTGCTGACTGCACTGATCACCTTCACCAAGAAAGAGGTAAAACACATACAGTACTGCACGAGAAGACGATGACTGTTTATACAGGAGCGTCAGTTTAAAAATGTTCCTTTGTGTGTCATATAGATGATTTTTATCCATCCTTTTTCTTCTTTGTTGTCATTTCGTTTGTGTCTGTTTTTAGACCAGCTCAGTGGGAGAGGCCCAGAAGCTCGTGGTTCAGGCGGCTGACCTCTTATCAGCCATCCATTCAAGCATTCAGCACGGCATCCAATCACAGAACGACACCACTAAAGGAGGTAATGTAGGCGCCTACCCCATCACACATGTGGAGGTTCAGATTGGACACTCGTCAGGACCGCAATCACGCAAAATGAAAACGATCGAGTGTGCTGTGAAATGCGTGTATTCTTGAAGCGGTCATACATGTTTGATACTTCCAATCTTTTCCATATTTCATGTTTTGAAATCATTTAATCTCCTCTATTTTAGTGATCAGTAGGATCTAAAAGTACCAAGCTTAAAAAAAAAACCTCCACATCTTCATTCATAATTTTAACCAACATATCTAGAATTAAAAGTTGATTTTCATCCCGCTCCATCCTTAAAATTTCATTTGACACAGATTTAAAAAATATATATTTTACTCTTTAATCCCAAACTGTTACTTGAATTACATTTTTTCTTCTTCTGTGTGCTCTGCAGATCACCCCATCATGATGGGCTTCGAGCCCCTCGTAAATCAGAGACTGCTGCCCCTACCTTCCCCCGCTACGCAAAGATCATTAAGAGGGAGGACATGGTGGCCTACTTTGGGAAACTTATAGAACGTATCAAGACGGTCTGCGACGTGATCAACACCACCAACCTGCACGGCATTCTGGTAAACTCAATGTTTTGAAGACCTGTGGGTTCAAACTCTGAACCAGAAACCTTCAATGAGCAGGTGTTGCTGAACAATTAGAAAACAATGTAAAAAAACTGCAGTTCCACATTTGTTTAATCGCGTTTACATCTTTTTGGTTGCTCTAAATGATAACGGTGTGTAAAGTAAAGTAACATTATGAATCTGGTGTTTGTGGTGTTACCAGGACTTCTTCTGTGAGTTCAGTGAACAGTCTCCCTGTGTGCTCTCCAGATCTCTGCTTCAGGTGAGTTCATAATGGCTGCTCATATTTTAAAGGGTCACCACATGTTGACTTTTAGATGATAACATATCGTTAAGTAATAAACAATCATTTATTTTAAAACCTGTTGTGTGAGAGCTTGACATGTCTCCCCCCCTCCTACATGCAGACGACGTTCCTGATCGATAATAAGAAAGTGTTTGGGACCCACCTGATGCAGGACATGATTAAAGATGCTCTGAGGTACTTTGTCAGCCCCCCTGTTCTCTCCTACAAGTAAGTCCGTCATTAATCAAACAGTTTAAACATTAACATCTGAATCACTTCACTCCACATTTTTATGTCAAATAATTTAAAGCTGCTGTCAGGAAGTTTCTGTTTTATGTCTATTTTTGAAGCCCCCCAGTGGAAGGGGTTTGTCTTATCACTTTGCTGATTTTGTTCTGTACATTTGAGGAAGTCTTATATAATCTCACCCTGCTTTCATCATATCTTAAATGTATCACTCATTGTTAAATTTAGCTGTTGATAAAGTCTAAAAAGGGTGCTGTTCATCACTTAGTCTGACATCTACTGATTAAAAATCATTTCATAGATGTAATCGATCGTCATGGTGATAGTCTCCTTTGCTCTTGCAGCTCATAAAGAGGAAACAGTATTAATTCCCAGTCTGTTTCATAACCAGTTTAAACTCTAAACAGGAGCCTCAAGCTGATTAGGAGCGGTCTCTGCCTGTTAGAGCTGCAATCTCTGGAATCATCTGATTGTGTTTCCAGATGAGCTGACTTGAGATGTTCAAGCATTTTTTTTGTCAGTCTTGACTGTTATTTAATGTCTGTTTTAATGTCTGTTTTAATGTCTGTTTTTTGATGATCTTCTTTTTAAACATTGCTGTACATATATAAACAACACAACTTCAGAAGGTCAACACTTTTTATTTTTTATATTCAGGTATAATTACAGATTTTTTTCCTCAACTGTTTTCAGGTTCTTGTTTAAATCTCACATATATTTTTATCCCTGCACGGATGTACATTTCTTGTATAAATCTATTTTTAATTGCACAGTTTAAGTTTTGATTCATCTAGAGGTATTCTTTAAATCTTTTTTCAGGTTAATATATATGTATGGGAGGGGGGCGTCGGTTTTGTGGTTTAATTTGTAACAAATGTTTCATGTCATGTACATCTTTGTAACCTGCTACTGGACGCTTTGAATTTCCCTCAAGATCAATAAAGTATCTCTTTCTTTCTTTCTTTCTTTCTTTCTTTCTTTCTTTCTTTCTTTCTTCCTTCCTTCCTTCCTTCCTTCCTTCCCCAGGTGTTGTCTGTTCAACAACCACCAGGCCAAGGACTACATCGACTCCTTTGTGACACACTGCTCCCGGGTATGTTACTTTTACTCTGCGGGGTTATCGTACCTGTATATCTGGTGCATATCTCATTCCTTTACAAGCTTAGAAAACTGAACTGGCTGCTTATTGTGCAGCATAAATGTGTTTTCAGTTGCTGAATTAAAGGGTGAAAAGTTTAAGAGCAGAGAGTTTGATTAGAGGTGTGGGATCAGATGAGATTGACCAATGACAGGAGTTTTTATTTGACTTCTGCCGTTTTGATGTTTTGGATGTTACACTGAAAGCAACTGGCTGATCTGTCATTAGCCTGAACACAAATGTTTAAGTGCTGAAGGTATTCAGTTATGTGTGTTTTCTCCTTTCAGCCATTCTGCAGTCTGATCCAGATCCACGGACACAACCGAGCTCGGCAGAGAGACAAGCTGGGTCACATTCTGGAGGAGTTTGCCACGCTGCAGGATGAGGTCATCTGCAGCTTTTTAAATATTTTAGCACAATTCTTGTTGATTTGTTTCGACCCCTATGAGTGATCTTGTTGTTAAAAACTTAAAACACATCGACTAAACTCTCCTTTGTGCTCTGCAGGCGGAGAAGGTGGATGCAGCGCTTCACAGCCTGCTGATGAAACTTGAGCCTCAGCGACAGCATCTGGCATGTCTCGGCACCTGGATCCTCTACCACAACCTGAGAATCATGATCCAGTACCTGCTCAGTGGCTTTGAACTGGAGCTGTACAGCATGCACGAATACTATTACATCTACTGGTGAGAGCATGAACATCGTCTTCTCTGTTGGTCGGCACAGACGCACAGTGAAGGCAGATTAGAATGAAAATCCCTCCACAGTATCTTTTTGTTAATCTATGAATGAACTTGTGTTTTTTTGATTTTCACCGTAGGTATCTGTCAGAGTTCCTGTACGCGTGGCTGATGTCCACACTGAGCCGGGCTGACTCGTCTCAGATGGCAGAGGAGCGGATCTTGGAGGAGCAGCTGAAAGGACGCAGCAGCAAAAAGACAAAGAAGAAGAAAAAAGGTACGCACTTCGGGAGTGTCTGCAGCTGAAGTGGAGGATGTGCACACTGTAGCCCTTTTACACATGCACAATGACAACATGCATAAGTCTTACAACACAGAGAAAAATGCTCCGTTTCAAATGTGCTCTCCTTGTGATGTCACAGTGGGATTCTGGTAAACAAAAAAATCCCTTCCCCTCCCCTGATATCTCCACCCATGGACTCCACCCCCAGCTTAGAGCAAAACTTTTCCACAGGTCCGCCATTTTTATTCTCCCTACAGAGGAGTGATGTCTACGGGGAAAACTCAGCGGGGGCTCATTACATTTAAAGAGACACACACACCAAAACGGAGCGTTCTGAGAGAGCTGGTTTATACAGGGTCACAAACCTCCTCTGGTGCTTGATTCATGTTATATTTTGACCAAAGCACAGCACAGATGTTTCATTTAGACCACAGGGGGACTGTTTGAAAAGGTGGAGAAGGGGGATAATATGTCCTCTTTAAATGTAGAGTTTACACATGCACCATGACAACATGTCTTCAAATGTAGAGTTGTAATCTCTCTGTCCTAATGACATGTTTTGGTTTCCTCTGCAGTTCGCCCTCTCGGCAAGGAAATAACAATGAGTCAAGCATACCAGAACATGTGTGCCGGCATGTACAAGGTAGGACGTCGGTGTTGATGTGCTTTTGGACCTCCCCTGCACACGGCTTATCATGCATCCTCTCAAAAATCGTTTACAGCTGCCTTTAATTAAACAACTTTAATACGCTTTTAAACTTTAACTCTGCACTGTAACTTTTAACTATTTTTATATTTTTACTTCAATTAATTTCATTTGAATTATTTTTATTTGAACAGATTTAATAATTTCATTGATTTTTAAATTTTCTATTTTAATGTTTCTTCTCTTTCCTCTGTCATGATGCTTTTTGATGTCTTGTGTGAAGCACTTTGAATTGCCTTGTTGTTGAAATGTGCTATAGAAATAAACTTGCCTTGCCTACTTCTCTGTCCTCAGACGATGGTCGCTTTGGATATGGACGGGAAGGTGCGTAAGCCTCAGTTTGAGTTGGACAGTGAGCAGGTCCGCTACGAGCATCGCTTCGCCCCCTTTAACAGCGTGGTCACCCCCCCACCTGTGCACTACATCCAGTTCAAGGTACTATAGCACACTCTTTAGGTTTTCTCTTTGTTTCTCCTCAACTCTTGACTTATCTTGATTTCTCTCCATCAAATTGCAACCACATGGGGCGCTGGTGGCGCATTGGTTAGTGCATGTACGAAGGCTGTAGTCTTCCAAGCGGGCGGCCCGGGTTCAAATCCAGCCTGTGGCTCCTTTCCCGCATGTCATTTCCCACTCTCTCTCTCTCTGATTTCCACCTCTATCCTCTGTCCTATCTCTCCATTAAAGACACAAGAAGGCCAAAAATAAATCTCAAGAAAAACATTTTATTTGAATTCCTTTTTAGTCAGACTTAACTCTCAGTTTCCTTGCCCTCTCTGACTGTGCCCCTCTTGCCTTTTGCAGGAGATGTCTGATCTGAAGAAGTACAATCCTCCACCAGGCTCTGCTGACCTCTACCTGGCCGCCAGCAAACACTTCCAACAGGCTAAACTCATCCTAGAAAATGTGCCCAGCCCGGACCCTGAGGTCAGGAACTTAACTTTTGTAAAAGCCTGCCTAAAGAGAACTCATTTCAGTCCTCAGATCTGCATCAATTTCTTATTAAAATGATCTAATTTAAAGCATTGAAACATCACTCGTAAGCACAGCAACCTCTGCTTCACAGTGCTTTAATCTTTTTTTTTTTAACCAGCTAATAACAATTTAATAACTGATTGCAGGTGAACCGTATACTGAAAGTGGCCAAGCCCAACATCGTAGTCACCAAGCTCCTGGCAGGAGGGCACAAGAAGGACACAAAGGTAACCCCAAAAATCACTCATTCCCTGGATTATCATCAGCTTGTGTTGTCATGGTTACTACGAAATTAGAACCTTTGATTCAGAAGTCAAAATAGCTGCCACAGTGATCGGTTAATCCAAACGTTGTATTAGCATTTCAACATTGAAATAAAATGCCATTTTCTTCCTCCGAAGGTGCTCCCAGAATTTGACTTCTCAGCCCACAAGTATTTTCCTGTCGTCAAGATTCTCTGATTCTGCTCCGAGAGTCATCACAGAGACCCCGTCAGCTGCAAAGACCACACCCTCACCTGTGTACGTGTGCAAATCCCCCTCATCCAGTCCATGTGTGGACTCTGACTTTGTGTGGTAAAGAAGAAAAAAAAAGGAGAGTCTGACACACCCTGTTCCCTTTTTTCAACCGAGAGATGTGACAAAGAAACCAGAGAATCACAAGTGGACCTGAACGAGTGACAACACTCACATCTGTTTGTTTGTTTGTCTGTGTGTGTGTGTGTGTGTGTGTGTGTGTGTGTGTGTGTGTGTGTGTGTGTGTGTGTGTGTGTGTGTGTGTGTTTCTGCCTGTGTGCAAGTTAAAGACGCGTCGAGGTGCTTTTGTACAAAGAACTGTCCTATGAGAACTTTTATATGCTGCCTTCAGAATTTGAACATCTTGAAAAAGTACGGCTGTAATGGAAACAGGTGCATATCATTCAATCATATGAGATCTTTCAATGTATTTATGTGCTTATCTGAATAAAAATGATGAGTCTGAAATGTCTACAGTGTCTTGTCATACCTCGTTATTTGTATTGGAAGCCCCCCTGCAGTGCGTTACATTTACATGTTACTAGGAGGTGTGGTGTTCATTCACCTGGGGGAGGGGCTACTGCCCTTTGTGATGTCATGAAGGGAAAACTGGGCACACATTTTCTGAAAAATGAAGCAGGCAAAAGACAGAGAGGATGGACTTTTCTCATAATGATGGTGTTTGTAGACAGAATAGGGACGCAAGTTAGTGTTAGAAAAAAATATTAAAGGAGGACATATTATCCCCTTTTTCCACCTTTTCAAACAGTCCCCTGTGGTCTAAATGAAACATCTGTGCTGTGCTTTGTCCAAAATATAACATGAATCAAGCACCAGAGGAGGTCTGTGACCATGTATAAACCAGCTCTCTCAGAACGCTCCGTTTTGGTGTGCGTGTCTCTTTAAATGAAATGACCCCCCCCCTGAGTTTTCCTGGTAGACATCACTCCTCTGTAGTGAGAATAAAAAATGGCGGACCTGCGCAAAAGTTTTGTTCTAGGCTGGGGGTGGAGTCCATGGGTGGAGATACCAGGGGAGGAGGGGGGGATTTTTTTTTAACCAGAATTCCACTGTGACATCACAAGGAGAGCACATTTGAAACAGAGCATTTTTCTCTGTGTTGTAAGACTTATGCAGACCACAAACAAAGGACTGGATGGACTCTTTATTTCACATTTTGTGGGTCAGTAGACACTCAGGTTACCCAAATATATGTTTAAAAACACTGTAGAAAAGGATTTTTCATAATATGTCCCCTTTAAGGTGCATTTTGCATTTTATGTGACATTTAAATATCTTCTTGTGATGTGGGACGGGACTTTAGAACTTGGGGTGTCATGAACCCTGAGTGTGATGTATCTTTATTCTCAATTTGTCGTTGGACTGAACTCTTGAATCTTTACAAGTTTAAGACCAGAATTGAAAAGGCATGAAAGCTTTTTGCATATCAGACAGTTGACATTCAAATGTTTGGGAAACACAATAAAGACTTCACATGAGCTTTGAGAGACCACATTGCTTTAATTAAAAAGGAAAATGAAATGACATACATTTAGTCATTTTTATGGTGATATCTCATAATTAATGCGAGTGTTCATTTTCCTTCATGATTTTTTCAATCCACTCCTTGTAGGGGCAGATATCCATCATTACGATGGGGTTGGCACACTTATCAGTCGGGTTGCTGACAATGACCCCGTGTAAATGGCCTTCATACACCACAGCGGAACCCGAATCGCCCTGCAGGAGAGAAAGCGCAAGACTTTTTAAATACGTCAAGTTACAATCAGACTTTTGATGGATAAGACTTTTAAAAGTATAAACAGTTTTCTTACATAGCAGGACATCACTCCAGGTTTAAAGGCACACATGGTGTTGGTTTTATCGCTGTTGTATTGGTTATCAGGCTTATCATTCTCGCCACATTCTTCCATGAATGTGTCGGCACACATCAACTTGCTTGACTTGATGAACTTTCTGAACCATTCTTTCTCTGAGGGTTTAAAGGAACAGAATTAGAAAAGTGACTTTCACCTGTGAGTCTAGTAAAGGTGGGAAAAAATATTGACACGTCGTGAGATGCAATTATCAAATCAAGTCAGCCGAATTTTGATAGGCCCACAACCGATTTCCATGCTAATTTGACTCGCCACATTACTACGTCATGACTCATCACGGTGGCGTTTAGAAATATGAGTGAGGGTAACAGGGACAGAAGTGCATTGTGGGATAATGTCAGGCAGTGGTGAATAGAAGTTAAGAGATAGAGCGTGATAAAAAGGTGAAACTGAGACCAAATTAAAGTGATCAAGAAGTTGATCCTGAAATGTGACCGTTATTAAGGGCGTTTTATATTCTTCAGTCAATTCAGTTAAAATGTCTTGTTGTGGTGTGTGTCGTATCGTATCATGTCATGTTGCAGGCTACTGTATCATGCCGTGTCTTGTTGTGACTTGTTGTTTCTTGTTGTGCTGTGTCGTTTTGTAACATGTCATTTTTTTTCTCACTTTTTCCCTCTTTGTCAGGTCCTGAGCCTCCAACCTGAACCGTTTTTTTCAGTTCTGGTCTTGTACACTCCCCAGCAGGAAGCTCCAGTGTGGGAAGTTTAGCTGAAGCCTTCTTAGTCAGCTTAATGAGCATGATGTCGTGGAGTTTCCCTTCCGCATCTTTGTCAAAGAAAAACTGCTGGCTGATATCTATGTCTTGCTTGTCTTTTACGAAAAACTCTTTGGAAGCAAATGATGCATCATAGTTAACGCCGAGCTTCACCTTCAGCTCCCTGCAAAACAACAACAGAAAAGTAACTTCAATAAAATAATTTAAACATTTTCCTTTTTCTTTTTGGCTGATTCAATGTAATATCGTTATTTTTTTAGACCTAATGTAGACTATGAAACAGAGTGTGTTCCTTGAAGGGCAGGTTTAATTTCATTTTAAGCTGCACTATTTTGTGAAAATCTATAAACACTTTTGTTTTTAAATATATTAATTGCTCTTGTTATGCCAAGTTTTGTATTACAATTTCAAGTCACTATGTTCCAGTATATATTTTTTTTATATCCTCCACACTTTTATTTCCTCACGCCTCGACTGCTGTAAATCATGATACATCTGTCTCAGTAAAATAAAACAATCCACCGCCTCCAAACAAGACAAAACACAGCAGCCCAGCTTTTAACAAGAATAAACAAATGTGTCCATATCACAACATTTTTTTTAGTTTTCATCCTGGACCTTGGAACAGCGTGTTAAGCTCTGCCAGAGGATCTCAGACTGCACACTGTTTTAGGGGGTTAAAGTCTTTATATGTGATTTTTCACACTTAAATATAATATAAATCAAGTATATCCTCTGAAAATAACTCTGTGAGTCATGACTGTCTACAATGGGTGTGACACCCGAGTCCCACTGTCTGTGATGTTTTCAGAGTTTTCAGAGTCCTATCTTTAGTTTGTTTTCATCGTCAGGACGGCCGGCTGACTCCTCCCCTCACTTATAAAAGTTGTTTAATTGAGGGACTAGAGAAAAGAAGAATAACATACTGTACTCACGGCTTAACTGTGTTTCTAGATCACGCTCATTTCAGGTAAATTTACATGCAGTGTGAAGATACCAGCATAATAAAGATCGCTAGCATTAGCATGCTAACACAACAATACAGCGCGAGTTGTTTTGGTTTCATGCTGGTGCTCAAGGGCGACATCTGCTGGATGAAAAAACATATAAAGTCTTTAAACGCTCAGCAACTATAGGAAGGGCCCTATAAAGTTATTAAAATCAACAGGCAGACAGTGAAGGGATAGCATGTGTTGCCCATGGCAACAATAAACATGTCTAAAGTATTTTAGTAGGCCTATTTTCTTGTATTCATTTATTTTCACAGTCAGGAAAAAAGACATAATCAACAAATAACAAAGAAGACAACATTCAGTGCAGGAAAAGGCAGAAAACTCAAAGAGATTATTTGAAGCTACCACCTAAATAATGCAAAAATATCAAATTAAAAAACAACAACGAAACAAAACATCATAATTAAAATGCAGAACTAAAAAGGTTTTAGTTTTCAGAGCCCTCAGACTTCAGAACAGCCTGCCAGAGGAGCTCAGACCTGCAGAGTCAGTCCTTCCTTTTATTACAGAAAGCTTTAACTCTGGGATTTTATTTTCAGTCTTTTATTGTCTGTTGTGAAGCTGTGTTGAAAAGTACACAACTAAAGTATTATTATTATTATGTGTGACACAGCGTTGATGTCTCTTACTGTTGTCCACAGTGGGCCGCAGTGAGGACCCAGAGACTGTTGAGCAGGGTGCCCCCGCAGGTAGTCTCTTTTTGCTTGGCCGTGATCTCAACATGGTACTGCCTGTCCTTCTTACATTTCAGACTCCCGACGATCCTCTTCTCAATGGAAGCCAACGCGGCTCCTGACAGATGGAAGAAGAAAATAATTCTGTGTGAACGAGTCGAGTTCAAGCTCAGACATAAAGGATGAATGTCAGAGCAGGTGACGATAAAGACGGGCAAATGATGTGGAACACAAGGCAAACAGAAAGGTTTGTAGGGATACATCTGAAAGAAAACAGTAACAATATGTTACATAACATATCTCACTTAAATCAAAATAGCCTCTATGAGCCCTTCCAGTCTGGTTTCCGCCCCCGTCACAGTACAGAAACTGCTCTACTAAAAATCACCAACGATCTCCTCATTGCTTCTGACTCCGGCTTACTTTCCATCCTCATCCTTCTTGACCTGAGTGCAGCCTTTGACACTATCTCACACCCCATCCTCCTCATAGGAGAGTATTGTCACCAGAACCCCCTCATACCATCACATCACCCCCATCCTACAGCAACTACACTGGCTCCCGGTGAAGCAAAGAATCATCTTCAAACTCCTCCTGTACACCTTCAAGGCCATCCACAACCTCGCCCCTCCATATCTGTCTGACCTTCTTACAATCGCCACTTCAGCCCGCTCCCTCAGATCCTCCTCCTCCATCCACCTCAACGTGCCCTTTGCCCGCCTCAGCATCATGGGGGGCAGAGCTTTCAGCTGCTCTGCTCCCCAGCTCTGGAACTCTCTGCCACCGGACATTTGCAATATTGACTCTCTCCCCATCTTCAAATCCAGACTCAAAACCCATCTGTTCAAGATCGCCTACTCACTCTGACACTTCAAACTGCAATTCCACTGTCCACAATTCCTTTGTCCACGATTCCATTTCTTTACTGTATGCTGTTTTTTTTATCCATCGCTGTTTTTAAAATGTTGATTGCTGTACAGTGTCCTTGTGTGTCCTGAAAGGCGCTTATAAATCAAATTTATTATTATTATTATTATACTAGTAAAAGAAAAAAAGAAGAGAGGATCGGGAGTTCATGTGTGTGTATGCTTGGATATCTATTTGACTACAGGCCCCATGTGTGGAGCCTGTAGTCCTCCCAGGTTCATAGCCGACCTGTGGCTCTTTTC